CCACCCCCAGGCTCCACCCCAGACCCACCCCCAGGCTCCACCCCAGACCCACCCCCAGGCTCCACCCCAGACCCACCCCCAGGCTCCACCCCAGACCCACCCCCAGGCTCCACCCCAGACCCACCCCCAGGCTCCACCCCAGACCCACCCCAGGCTCCACCCCAGACCCACCCCCAGGCTCCACCCCAGACCCACCCCAGGCTCCACCCCAGACCCACCCCCAGGCTCCACCCCAGACCCACCCCAGGCTCCACCCCAGACCCACCCCCAGGCTCCACCCCAGACCCACCCCCAGGCTCCACCCCAGCCCAGGCTCCACCCCCAGGCTCCACCCCAGACCCACCCCCAGGCTCCACCCCAGGCTCCACCCCAGGCTCCACCCCAGGCTCTACCCCAGGCTCTACCAGGCTCAGGCTCCACCCCAGGCTCTACCCCAGGCTCCACCCCAGGCTCTACCCCAGGGCCACTCCCAGGCTCACCCGGGTCCATCACAGCTGCAGCCGCGTGGACCCTGCCTGGGTGCCTGGGTCTTCCCAGGAGCCCGCACCCCCTGCAGCTTCCCCCCAGCAGACTGTCCGGGCCCTGCCTGGCCCTGCGGGAGGCTGCCGGCTGCTCTGGTTGTGGGCCAGCAGCCGCGCCAGGACGGCAGCCAGTGAAGTCCAGCCGTCACCGCAGCGACGGCCCGGCAGCGGCTCCTGGGCGGGGACAGCAGGCAGGCGGTGCTGGGGGGCCCCTCCATACCCGGGCCCTGGAGGGCGTTGGCGGCCGTCCCTCCGCCCGGCGCGCACCTGCTCCCAGGCTGGGGCGCCCGAGGCCACTGCCCACCGCCCCCGCTGCCAACCGACCTCAAAGTGACAGCAGAGCTGAACACGGGGGTCCTTGTGAAACTTATCCCCCCTCCCACCCCCCGCCACGGGCCGTCCCAGGGCTGGGGGCGGGGTCTCCCGCAGGCGACCTCCTCCACGTGCGGAGCGGAGGACCCCCGGACCCCCAGCCAGGTCTGGGGCACAGGCCCTGAACTGCCCAGCCACAAGGTCCTGCTTTGGCTGTGGGGGGAGGGGACAGGACGTCCCCAGAGGCGGGGCAGGCGGTTGGAGGCCCTTGCTTTCCCAGCAGCTGCTCCGGGAGCACCCAGCACCCGGGAGCACCCAGCACCCCGCAGCACCCCAAGAGCACAGCAGGGGGCGCCCCTCGCCACACACGAGAGCCCCACAAAGCAGGACCCTCTGTCCCTGCGGGAGCACCGGCTTGATGCCCAGGACCCTGCCAGCCTCCAGGGCCGAGAGCCGCCTTAGTCTCTGCCTCGGTGGCGCCCGCCCAGCCTCTTGGGCAGCGCAGACCCGCCCTGACAGAGGGCGCAGCCCTTCCTGGGCGGGTGGGGCGGGAGGAGCTCCCGGGGCAGCTCAGGGCCCACACGTCCCGCAGGTGGCATCCTGGTCTCTGCAGCCCTAATGCTGCAAATCAAGCAAGAAGACAGCTGGAAGCCAGTCGCCAGCCGCCAGCTTCTGGCGGGAGCAGCAGGCGTGAGGCCGTGGCAGAGCCGGGCGGGCCGGTGCGCAGGGCCCAGCTGGGGTGGCGGGTCCGGCGGGGTGGCAGGTGCGGGGGATGGATGGCAAGCGCAGGCCCGTCCGTGCTGCTCACCAGCTGGCCGTCCCCCGGCGTCTGGCCTAGAGAGCAGCCTGGGGACCGAGGCCCGTGGGCGTGAAGATTTGGTCTCAGTGGTTTGCCAGGAGCACCCCAGAAACCAGCCCCTCAAGACTGGCGCCCGCCCCACTGCTCCGGAGAGTCCGTGGGCGTGATGAGGCTGCCTGCTGGGGCGCGTGGACGCTCGGGGGCCTGGCCACCCCCGGAGCCCGGCCACACCCGGGGGGCTGCCGACACGCCGGCCCTGTCTCTTCGGGGGGCTGTGACGCGGGGCGTGGCCCGCCGAGCTTTTCCTTCATGGCTGAAAGGTAAGGGGAGCGACTCCTTTTCAAAATTGTTTTCGTGGCCAGGACGCGCTCCCCGCCCCGCGGCCGGCCTCGCACCCCTCTTCCCGCCCCGCAGCAGACTGCCCATGGCTCCGGGGCTCCCTTCTGGGGTCTGCGGGTGGGGAGCCCCGCCCGCAGCAGGAGGCGGCAGCGCGGACGCGGGCAGGGGCAGGGCCCAGCGCGGGCGCCCCTGGGGGCCTCTCCTGCCCGCGAGCCGCGAGGACGAGGCCCGGGGCTCTGGCGCGGGCTTGGGGCCCCGCCCTGGCGCGGAGGCCGGGGAGGGACGCGTCCGGCCCCGCGGACACCCACGCCCGAGCCCGAGTGGCCGCAGATTTCCGGCCCCCGCCACGGACAGGGGCACCCACGCGCCGGCCGCGGGCGGCAGGGCGGGCGGCAGGGCGGGCTGAGGTCCGGGGGGCTCCGAGCGCGCGACCCCAGGCCCGTCCTCGGGCTCCCGCGCAGCGGCCCCGGGTCCGGCCCGCCCGTCCCCAGCCCGGCCCTCGGCAGCCCCGGCCCGCCGGACCCGGCTGCTCCCCCAGGCCTGGCCATGCCGCTGTCCTAAGCTGGGGTGTGTGCGTGTGGGGGTGTGTGGGGGTGTGTGGGGGGGGTGGGGGGGTATGTGTGGTGTGTGGGGGGGTGGTGTGTGGGGGGGTGTGGGGGTGTCCGTGTGTGGGGGGGGTGGGTAGGGGTGGTGTTGGGGGCATTGGCTGTAGCGCACCTGTACCGGGTGTGACTGTGGTGGCAATTGCCCAAACCTGGCAGGAGGCGGTGGAGGGAGGTCCGGCGCCCCAGGCCCCCACGAGCACCCCGCTTTCCGCAGGCTCCTGCAGCTAAGGGCGCAGCCGGCGGGTCGGCACGCTGCTGGCGTGGCTCTGGGCCCAGCGGGCAGGAAGGACCGTGGCACCCCCTGGCCTCTCCCGGGGCCTCTCCCGGGCCGCCCAGGGAGAAGCCACAAGGCTCCATCCAGAGGGGCCCTCCCTGGGCAAGGGGGTGCTGTCTGCGCTGCAGGGGCCTGGGGGGGCCTCTGCTTCCGGTGATGCGGGTGCCCCCCGTGGCACTGGGCTGAGCCGGGGACCCCGGCCCTGGGCACAGCTCTGCTCTGGGCAGTTCTCTTGCCTCTGGATCTCTGTGCCCGTCGTCAATGCAAGTGACACGTGCCCCCGTCTTTGGGTGACACGAGTCCCCATCTTGGGGTGACACGTACCCCCATCTCGGGGCTGCGTCCACAGCAGCAGCCAGGGATGCTGAGCGTGACCAGGACGACTGTGGCGGGGGCAGGGGCAGGGCCCAGCCGGAGCTGCCCGGGGTGTCCGCGCCGCAGGCCGAGCGTGGGGCTGCGGCCTCAGGGTCCTCCGAAGGCCGCGCTGGCTGCAGAGGGCTGAGGCCCACCACCGGCCTCCGAGAGGACGAGAGGTGCCCGATCCGTCTGGGGACTGCAGCGGCCTGGAGCGAACGAAGCCTGGGCAGCCGCGAGACCATGAGCACCTCGGGAGGGCCCAGCCGCCCAGCCGAGGCCGGGCCCGGAGCCGTGACCTGCGCACCTGAGGGCGGTGCTGCGCCGAGCGCCCCCACGGAAGAGGCCCTCCTCCTGCTGGCCGCTGTGGGCTGTGGCCGGCCCATCACCACCGGCCGCTGCACGGAGCTGTAGCCTCTCTCCGCGCGGGTGAGCGGGGCCTGGACGGTCCAGAGCGGGCGAAAGCGGAAAGGCCGCTGGGCTTCCTGCTCTGTCCCCAGCGCTGAAGGTGGGGGGTTGGTGGCAAGCACAGTGACGTCCGCCCTGCCCAGCCCCCGTCCCGGGGCTCCCCTCCTCCCTAGCCCTCTCCTTCCCCGGGACGCCCGTTCCTCCACGCTGCTGGCCACGTGTGGCCTCTCCGGGCGTGGCTCCCGGCCTGCAGGGACAAGTTGGTCACTCCCAGAGCACAGGCCCGGGTGTCAGCAACTTGGGCGCGCTCGGCCGTGGCCCTGCTCTGGGGTGGGGGAGGCTGGCAGGGGCCTGATGCAGGCCTCTCCCCAGTGTGGCCAGGGGGCAGCATCCACTCCTGCAGCAGCAGGGCCTGGGCCTCCGGCCGGAGGACATGACATCCACTTCTTCAGGCCCTACAAGGTCAGTGGAGACCTGGGCATAGGGTCCAGGTGCCTCTGTCCGCGGGCCACAGAGGACGGCACCTGCAGGGCGGCCAGGGCCTCCTAGGGCAGTGGGCGGTGATCCCTGCTGACCAGCGCTGGAGCCCCGGCCCCAGGTGGGCCTCCCGGTAGCTTAGGCGTGGCCGCCCGGTGTGAGGGAGGCCCGAAGAGTGGGCGTGCTGGACCCAGGCGGCAGTAGGTTGCTCAGGTTAGCTGAGCTGTGCCCACCCTGGGCCCCGGCCCCGGCCCCCGTGCTGACGTCCCCCACTGAGGGCGGCGCGGCCAGTCGCCCTTCTGAGGACCAGGGGCCAGAGTGCCAAGGCCCCAAGCTAGCCAGTCCCTGCCCACACCCGCACCCCCGCTCCACTCTGACCTGTCCAGGGTCCACCAGCCTCCCAGACCCACACAGGGGCCCTGACCGGGAGCCCAAGAACCGCTTCCAAGCTTGGGGCACAGGCAGGCCTCGAGGTGACCAGATGGGGGTCAGGGGTCAGGTGTAGCCCTGGCCGCATGCTTCTGGGGTGGCCGCGCCCCCTCCACCACCCCAGCCGGGGCAGTGGGCAGCAAGGGTCTCACGCTGTGGGCGCTGGGGGCTGCTCCTCTGTACCCGGGGCGGGAGGAGGCGCCAAGGCCAGTGGTTCTGGGACGTCCAGTTAGCGGGCAGGGTGGGCCTGCGGCCGGGGGGCTGCCTGGTGAGCTCTGGCAGGAGGGTGGCACCGCTGGGAACGAGGAGGAGTCGGGTGTGACTTGACTCCAGGAGGGCAAGCGTGTCCATGGGGGCCAGGAGGGGACCGCAGCGCCGCCTCTGAGGTGCCCCAAGCCGCCCACGGGACATCCGAGCCCAGTCCAGGAGAGGACTGCCAGGGAGAGGGGCGAGCCGGGGCGGGGGGCGCGGCCGAGCGGCCGTCAGGGCCCAGCTGCAGCCAGCGCGCGGTCTGGCCCTGCGGAGGCCGGAGGCGCCCAGCTGGGGGCCTCGGCCCGCACAGCCATAGCCCGGATGGCGTGCACGGCCGCCCCTGTGGCCGCCAGCTGGAGCTGGACTGGGAGGGCCCCGCTGGCCGTCCCCCCGGGGGCCTCCCTGGGGTCTCCCGGGCTCCTCGCCGGCAGGACAGTTGCCCCGGGAGGCCCGCCCAGCACTCTGCCACGGAGCAGGCGCCCGCCGCAGACCCGCGTCCGGAGCCACCGCCGGGCCGGACTCTGCATGGCTGGGGCAGGGCAGAGCGGCTGTCCCCAGGGGCCACGTGGGGCGCGGTCAAATCCCGGGGCGGGGGGGCTGTGTGGTCATGGCGAGGGGGCGCCAGCAGGCGAGCCGGGCGGGGGGCAGGTCCTGGGGAGCTGGGCCCATGTCCCCACGGGCTGGACGGGTGGAGGCCAGCACTGCTGACCGGGCTGAGCCTCTGCTTCCCCGTGACTTCTGAGTTGTGCTGAGCCCGCCTGGGCCACCTGGTCTCAGGCCCGTGAGCCTGCTGGGCCCTCGGATGGGGCAGGGCCTGAGCCCACGCGGGCAGGCACCGTGGGTCAGTGCTCTGGGCAAGGGGCCTCCCGGGCCCCACACGGCGCCTCATGGGGACCTGGAGAGCCCTGGTGGCCGGCGGGTGACCGGCCCTGAGCAGCCCTGGACGCGAAGGCTTCGCCTGGCCGTTCAACCCCCGGCGGCCACCAGAGGGCACTGGTGGCTGCGCCCCGCACGGGTCGCCGCCTGGCTGTGCTCCGCCTGGACAAAGGGCCGGGCGCCGGCTTCTGACTGGCCTGGGGCAGGTGGGGCCTCAAATCCGGGCTGCCCACTGCGGCCCCAACCCAGCCCGTCCTAGCAGGAGGGTGGCCAGTTCCAGTGCAGGCCGCCCCAGCACCCCTGTCCTTGGACTGCCGGCGGCCAGCCGGAGCTCTGGCTCACCCTGAGACCCCACTGGGCCCGGCAGTCCTATTTCCGGCCTCCCTGGGCCTGGTGGACAGACACGCCCTCCTCTGGCCGTCGGGTGAGCGGGGGGCGCTGGTCTTCTCCCAGGGCCGGGGTGTGTCTGTAACCCCCTCTCCAGGGCACACCCACCCCGCCCACCCCAACCCGGGACAGCCGGGCAGCGGGAGGGGCCCGGAGTGCTTCAAGCAGAGCGACGTTTCGGGAGCCGCTTCCCGGGAGCGGGAGAGGGCGCGGGGGGGGGGGGGGGGCGGCGGGCCTCGTGCCCACACCCCGCCCCCACGCCACTCCCGCAGGGGCCTCAGGCCGCCAGGGGCAGGTGGCTCCGCAGGGGCCCTCCGGGCAGGCCCCGAGCCGCATGGCCACCCCCGCCGCAGAGGACACCAGCCGGCAGACTCCACACAAGCGGCTTTACTGGGCACAGGGCGGGGTGGCGGCAGGACCCGCAGGCCGCCTCGCCTCTCCCCCGCGCCTCCCGGGCCGCCTGGGGGCGGCTGCCCCCGCCCTGGCCGCCCCTCGCTGGGCCTGCCGGGCCCGCGCCCCGAACCCCAGGCTCTGCAGCGTCTCCGCCACGTGCTGCGCGCAGGGGGACACGCACAGCACCAGCAGCAGCTCGGCGTCGCCGCCTGCGGGGACGGGGGACGGGAGCAGCGTGAGGGATTCCGGGGAGGCTCGCCCGGGGCGCCCCCGGGGCTGTCCTTGTCTCAGGGGCACTGGCTCTGGGAGTCGGGGGACGGGCGGGGGGAGGGGGCGGGGAGACCCGGGAGTCAGCCGGGGGCAGGGAGGGGCGGCGGGCGGGTACCCAGCGCGTCCTGCAGCAGGTGGGTGAGTCTGCTGTTCCGGTAGGGCACGTGGCCGCGGCGCGCAGCCAGGGCGCCCAGGACGTCGGCCAGCGCCGCCAGGCTCCGGTTGATGCAGGCGGCCTCCCTGAGGGCCGCGCCCGCCACGGCGGACACACCTGTGGGGAGCCCCGCTGCGGGTCCGCCCCGGCTCTCGGGCACGCCGGGAAGGAGACGCGCCGCGGCCCTCGGAGGCGGGGGTAAGCGCGCCGCCCGGGGCCTCTGGTGGCCGCTTTGTCCAGGCACCACGCACCGGCCGCCGCGCCCGGGGACGAGGGCGAAGCCCCCCTGGCCCGACGCGGGCTTGCCGGCTGCCCACCGAGGGCTGGGCCCGACACCCCCGCGGGTCCCGCCTCGGTCCCTGCCCACGGCGGCCGCTCACCTGCGCACTCGCTGCCCGCCAGGTCCACCAGCTGCATCTTGGCCCACACCTGCTCCTGCTCCGCGGGGCCCGGCGGGGACTTGGGCAGGCACCCTGGGGGGCCCGGGGAGGTGCGGCCCACCCGGCTCCACCTCCTGCCCCCAACGGGCTGCGCAGGGGGATCCCCCTGCTCCCCGGGCAGACCGCAGCCTGGCTGAGGGCCCCCTGTGAGCAGAAAACACCTCCCGTGACGCTGCTGCTGGGGTCTGCGGCTGCACCCCAAAGCACCCACAGCCCGGGAGGGGCGGCTGCTTCACGGCCACTCCCGGAAGGTCAGGGGCGCGGGCGGCCCCGCCGCGTGAGGCGGTGGGAAGAGAAAGCACCGCAGCTGTGGGGTCAGCTGTGGGGTCAGCTGTGGGGTCAGCTGTGGGTCAGCTGTGGGGTGGGCCCGCCCGGAGGCGCCCGGAGGCGCCCGGAAACAGGACACGTTCTCAGAAAGACCAGGCGGCGCCGGTCGGGTCTCGGCTGGAGACGTGGCTCGCCTGCCAGCCCCCTGGGGGGCCACGTCCAGCAACGGCCTCCCAAGCCCGCGCTCACCGGGGCCACCCCGCGGCCAGCACTCCCCTGTGCCGACGCCACCCGGCCCATCCCCGCGACGCAGCCGCCGTGGCCCGCTGGTCCGGCCAGTGCGGCGCCGCGGCCGAGGCCCTGCTGCTCCCGCCTGAGCCTGGCTCGGGGCCACGCGGACGCGCCGGGGGGCCTGGGAAGCCGCCTTCCTGCCAGGGCGGGCAGTGGGGGGGGCGTGGCTCCGCGGGGAGCCGCGGGACCCCAGGCGGGACCCCAGGTGGGCCGGCCCCCCAGGTGCCGCTCTGAGCTCCCGGAGGCCCCGCCCCCGGCCTCACCTGCGCCTCCCCGGGCAGCCCGGGTGCTGAGCGTCACCGTGACGACCAGGTGCGACCGGGAGGAGTGGGCGTGCACCCCGGTGGCCAGCCTTGCCCGGCGCTGCAGGGCGCCCCCCACGTGGCTCATGAGCTCGGCGGCGCTACGGACGGCCCTGGGGGCGACACAGAGTCGGGGCAGCCCCCAGCCCCTGCTGCCCCCCGACCGGCCCCACTGCGCCCGGGCGAGGGTCTCATCCGCGAGTGCGGCTGTTTTCAGGGGCAGAAGGACCGTTTCCGGGGAGCCGAAGGGCCCCGCCCCACGGCCCGAAGGGGGAGGCTCCCGCTGGGGGTCCGGGGCGTGCTGGACTCACTCGCGGGTCAGCGGGGAGACCTCCGTCCTGCCCGCCCGGGTCGTCACGGCTGGCCTGACCCCCGGCGTGGCTGCGCCGCCGTCTTTGGCCAGAAGGTCAAAAAGGCCGTTGTTATAAACTTCCAGGACGGAGAGGTCGGCCTCCAGGCTCCCGGCCGGGTCTCCTGAGAGGAGCCTGGGGCACGGGAGACCGGCTGTGGGGACCCCCCGGCAGGGGCTGGGGAGCCGCGGGCAGCACTCGGCAGCGGGCAGCTTGGAGCCAAGTGTCTCATCCCAGCACTGTCCGCACCCCCGCCCCACCCCACGCGCCCCCAACTTCCTCCCCCCCACAAACAGGTGGGGTGTGGCCAGGCCTGATGCAGAGGCCGGCACCTCGGGTCCACCACAACGCGAAGCCGGAAGCAAAGGCCTGACCCCCAGGGTGCACGCCGGGGTCACTGGGGCCACACCAAGTCTCAGCCCCCCGAAACGCTGAGGCTGAACGCCGCCTGGCGTGTGGGCAGAGCTGCTGCATCCTCGAGGGCACTGACACCCGCCCGGCACCCACGCAGACATGCACACACCGGTGTGTGCCCAGCAGAGCCCGCCCGGCCTGGCCTGGACTCCGGGGCCTGCTCCCCGAGTCGGTGCCCGGCCGGACAGGGGGTCTGGGAAACGGGTGGACTCAAAAGCCACCAAGGAAATGGGCAGCTCAGGGAGCTGCGGGAAAGCGCGGCCGCGCTGGCTTCAGAGGCGTCCGGCAGACGCCCGCGCACAGACGCGCTGACACGCAGGCGCCCGGCCGCACTCGCCGACGCGGGGACAGGCCGGGCAGGCCACAGCTTCCGGGCCCAGAGCCTCTGGGAGCCAGCGGGGAGCCTGGGGCTGGGGAGCTCGGGCCCCCCAGTAGATGCGCCGCCCCTTGCCACACTAGGAGCCCCCACCTTCGCGGGGTCCCGTGGGGAGGTGCGGGAAAGCACGGCCTGGCGTCCCTGCTGGGCCCTGACCCCCATCCCTCTCCCCGCCCCATTAGGGTCCTGTGGGGACGTGCGTGACCTGGTGTCCTGCTGGGCCCCTCGCCCGCGCCCGGCCCCCCCACTGCACAGGACCCCCCTCCGGCCCGTCTTACCTGAAGAGCTCGCGGGCCGCTCTGGGGACGATGCCCATGCCGCCGGGGTCCTCGGCGGAGGGCGGGCCCAGCATGGTGTGGCTCTTCCCGCTGCCCGTCTGCCCGTACGCCATGACGCACACGTCGTGCCTGGAATGCGCCGACGTGGGCCACGGCCGTCCACCCCGAGGCCCGGCGCCCCTGTGCCGCCACCCTGGGCCCACCACAGGACCCTCTCCTGCCGTCCAGCTCCAGCCTGGGTGGCCCCGACTGTCCCTCCTGAGGCTCAGCGGGCACAGGGGTCCCCATGTCCCCTGGGCAGGTCGAGCAGAGGGGATGTGCCCTGGGCCCAAGCCCCCTGGTTCCTGCAAGCGTCCAGCGACTCACCCGTCCAGCAGAGCCGCGAGCAGCGGACTCACGCCGGCGAACACGGCCTCCTGGGGCTCCGCGGGGCCGTAGACCCTGAGGCCGAGGGGGAGTTTCAGGGCGTGGCTTGGGGGGCACCGCGCCTGGACGCCCCACCGCCCCCCAGAGGCGGTCACCGGGCTCAGCCTCCCTCAGTCCATCCCTGGGAGGGCGAGGGGTCCCCTTGGCGAGACAGACAGCCGGCTTGGGACAGGGCTGCCCACACGGCGGGAGAGGCGGCCAGGGCGCCGCGGGCCGGCGCGGGTCAGACGCAGGCCTCGCCCACCGAGTCAGACTTTTCTCTTCTTTCAGTTTCCAGACGCGTCAGGTGCCCGGTGGCCCACACGGTGGGCAGCTGGCCTGGACGTGTCAGCCTTTCGACACGCTCTGCGTTGTCAGCAAATCTGACACAGAGCCCAGGCGCGTCCCCCCGAGCTGGGCATCGGGGAAAGCGCTCACCGCTCAAAGCTGTAGGTCTTGTCCACCAGGGGGTGGCCGGGCCGGCTGCATCGCACCAGGAGCGTCTCCTGACAGGGGACACCGAGGGTGAGCGGGAGCAGGTGGGAGGGCAGCCGCTGGCCCGTGACTGGCCTGCTGGGGGCCGGCCTCAGGCCTGGGCCGCCCACGCTCCCCCGGCACTCCCGGAGACCGTGAGGGGCTGGGACGCCTTGGCCATCGCTCTGGCTCTGCAGAGGGGACGCTGCGGCCGTTACAAGAAACAGCAGCAGCCCCTGCGGGTCGCGCGATGCTGGGACGGCGGCTCAGGCCGGGCTGGCGCCTGCACGTGTGGGCACTAACCAGCCGGCTCCGGCCCGCACCCGCGCCCTGCCCGCGGCCCGCGGCCCCGCCGGCGGGAGCACAGGGACACGGCCCAGAGTCGCCGGTGTCAGCAGATGCAGAGTTTGACCCCGAGACAGACCCCCGGAGCCACCGCGGCCCGGGGCTCCCCGAAGCCCAGGCCCTCCGTGCAGAGCAGGAAGCCAGAGGCCGCCCCTGCGCGCTGACGGCGGCCCAGGCCGGGACTTAGCTGGCACCCGGCAGCCCGGGCCGCCCTCTGCGCAGGTCGGGCCTCTGCGTCTCTGGGGGCCGGGGCTGGGGGCGGAAATGGGGGAGGCAGCGCTGGGCCAGGCCTGCCAGTGTCCCCCGACCCTCCTGGACTCTGGGAGGTGCCTTAAGCAGAGGAGGCCGGGCCACGGCCGAGGTCAAGGTGGCGGGCTGGACACGGGTGGCCGAGCCGCGCGTCATCAGCCTCAGGCAGACTGCGCAGGAGGGACGCAGGATTCAGAGGCAAGGCTGGGGCTGACCCTGTGCTTCTGCTCACCCCCCTCGTGGGGGTGGGAGGACAAGAAGAGTCCAGCGAAGGGGAGGTCCAGCATCGGCCGTCAGGGACGCCCGGTCCCCAGCAGCCTGGTCCCCAGCAGCTCGGCGATGCTGGCAGCGGAGACTGCGCCAGCGATCCCCTGCCTATGGGACGCCCCGGCCCAGTGTCCAGCTCGCTGCTGCCGCCACTCTGCACAGAAGTGCCTGGGCCAGCAAGCCAGCCGGAGCGCACGGGGCGGGCGCCTGGCTGGGCGCAGCCCGGACCTACTGCAGCGCGGGGAGCCGGTGGCCCCTCCGAGCAGCACGAGGCCCCAAGGCGGCTGTCAGTGCCGGGCTCCAGCGGCCGTGGACCGAGCCGGCAGGGGCGGGGAGGACACTCGGCCCAGCAGGGGTGGTACCTCCACCCACCGCCCCGTCGGCCTCACTGATGGATCCACAGCCGCTGCCCAAGCACACTCGGTCCCCGCCGGGCACGGCGTCCCACAGCGGGACCGTCCCTGGGCCTGGGAGCTGAGCAGCCACCGGACCCAGGGAGGCCCAGATGCTGCCCGAGGCGCCCCATCAGAGCCGGGTCCAGCCCTGAGACCTGGTGGACGCAGGTCCACCAGACCTGGTGGCCGACAGCCTCCTCCGTGGGGCCCGCGCCCAGCATGCTCCCGGCACCACGTGCTGGGGCCCTGAGCCCCCCACACCCCCCCGCGTCTCGGGTGCGGCGGGGTATCTGGCTGCGCTCACGCCGGGCGTCCCCGGACTTGTCCTGGAGGAAACTCCCTCGCCGCCGCCAGCTGCCCGGGGTCGCGTGTCCTGAGAGGCCACCCTGGAGGCTGCAGTGCCCCCTGCACCCAGCACAGGCCGAGCCACCCAAGCACTCGTGAGGACTGGGGGGGTGGCTGCCGGCCAGGAGCTGCCGGGTCCCGCCTACGGGGATGGCCGCGGCTGGGCGCCCGGCTCCCCTGGCCTTGCCCAGGCCCAGACCACAGGATGGTTCGCTTGTGCTTTCACCGCCTCGGGCTGGAGCAGAGACAGCTGGAAAAGGGGAGGGCCGGCCACTCTGCAGGCCCTGCCGCGCTGGGCAGCGCCTGGCCTCGAACAGGAAGGCCACTCACATCGTCCACTGCGAAGGTCACTTCTCCGGAGGCAGAGCTGGAAGACAGAGGGGACGTGCCTGTTGGCTCGTGCCCACCCGCCCGACCCCGCACGGGCAGCCGGGGCTTCCTGCTCAGCCTCCCGCGTGCGCCTCCAGGCCCTGCCCCTGCTGTGCAGCCTCGCTCAGCCCGCCAGCCTCCCGCTTCCCCTCCGCCTTCCTCCGTCCCTCTGTGTCTGTCCGTGGCCCCGGCATGCCAGGAGGGCTCACAGGGCCACCACGGCGGGGGCTGGAGGGCAACACCTTCAATGAAGGTGGAAGGCAAGAGGGGACCCCTTGTGGGCCAGAGGCCGCCGTAGGAGGGACAGAGCCGGGAGGCCAGTGGCCCGGCCCCGCGGCACTCAGAGGCGCCTGAGCACCGCTCGTCAGTGGCCCACGTCAGTGCCCCACTGCCCACCGGCCCCTGGAGAAGCAGGGGGCCCCACCCCAGGAGACAGTGCAGCTCCGAGGAGACCCTTCCTGGGGAGGGGCAGGGCAGCAGGGGGGGGCCCCCCTCCTGGGCGTTTCACTCTGAAACACACACACCTGCACACCCACACACATGCACACGCACACCTGCACACACCTGCACCCTCACACTTGCACACACTCCTGCACATGCACTTACATGCCCCCACACACCTGCACACACATTTGCACAAACACCTGTACACACCTGCACACACATCTGCACATCTACACATGCACACGCATCTGCACACCTGCACATGCACACACACCTGCACACACGCACACCCCAGCAGAAGCAAATCACCTGCTCTGTGCATGGGGGCCAGCCACGTCCCTATCGAAAGCCAGCAGGGGGCGCACGCGGCAGTGCACCCGGATGTCCCCCCTCGGTTCCTGTGAGGGGGCAGCCGTGAGCCAGGGTGCCGTCCAGCTGGGGGTCACACGACACCCATGTCTCCCATCTGGGAGACGCGTCGCAGCCTCAGGGGCAGCAGCGTCCCTCAGTCCGGGGAGCTGCCCAGAAGCCCGTCAGCGGAGGCTGCTGCTGCTGTGGCCGGCCTGGGCCGCTCAGGCCATGCCCGCCCCACGGCCGCACCCGCAGCCCAGCCAGCCTCGCGGGCTCCACAGCGGACGGGGCGAGCCGAGGCCAGGACGTGCGGGACACGGACAGGGACAGCGCTCTCACTCGGGGCACCTGGTCCTGGCTGGCCCCCACGGCCTGCACCCTACTCCTCGCGCCCCGGTCCCGGGTGTGGGCTCGCCTGGCCGGCCGCGCGGGGCCTCCCAGCCTGCAGCCGAGGGGCGGCGTGGGGGGGGTCGGGGCTGCCCCGCCCCCGCCCCCACAGGGTGCTGACCCCCGGCTCACCACCCAGCGACCGCGCGGAGGCCTGCGCCGCCTCCTCTCCGGCCCACGCCGCTCCTCCAGCTCCTGCAGGCGCTGCGCTGCGGGCCCGGCCGGTGGGGTCTCAGCAGCGGCCCTCCCGGCGGTGGGCTGTGGCCGGACCCGAGCACCAGGCCGCCAGCCAGAGTCCCTGGGCCCCGCGGCCGCTGAGCTCCGCGACGGGACGGGGTGGGCAGCCCTGGGAGGGCAGCGGGCAGGGCTCGGCTGCGCGACGGAGAAGGGGGCGGGGCGGGAGCCCCTGGGGAGCAAACAGAAGGCGGAGGAACCCAGCTGGGCCTCCCTGGGGGCGGGCGAGGGCAGGCTCACCCCGGAGAGCCTCCATGTGGGGCTGGGCCCGCTGGACGGCCGCTGCTATGTCCGCCGCGCAGGCCTGGAGCTGGTCCCCACAGCCGCGCAGCAGCCCCAGCGCCGCGGCCCGCAGCTCCCGCGTCTCGGCTCCGAGCTCCTAGAGGCCGGACACGGCAGCGTGGGCTCAGGGGTCACTGCCGCATGGCCGGGCAGCCGGCTGGGCCTGAGGCCCAAGCTCCTAGCCAGGGCCGAGCGGGGCTCCTGGGGGGCGGCTCCGCGCGCCTGTGGGGGCACCTGGCATGATCGCGGCTGGGACCAGCTTCCCAGGAAGCCGCCGCGGCCTCCTGGCCTCAGCCTCTTCTTGGCTTCTGCGGGCAGCCCCCGCCCCCTGGGTGGCCGCGGGAGCCTGAGGCCACTGCAGACCCCCTCACCTGGGCCTGGCGGCGGAGCTGGCCCCAGGCCACCCGCGTGTCCTGCTGCAGACGCCCCGGCCCTGCAGCGCCCCCACGGCCCCTCCAGGCGGCTTCGCGGCGGCGCTGTGCGGAGAAACAGGCAGTTGAGTCTGAGGCCCTGGCGGGAGGCGGCGTCCTGGGGTGGGCGCTGGCCGCCCTGACCATGTCCAGGGACGAGGCTGCCCGATGGCGCCACCCAAGCAGGTAGTAGCTGCGGGGCCAGGCGGCAGGGCCGTGAGGGCTGGCCAGAGGGCGGAGGCTCCGGGCCACGGCAGGAGGAGACCCCGGCCCTGCCCGCTTGCCAGAAGGAAACGGGGGCACGAAGGGCAGCGACCCCTTCTCTAGAAAGATGGAAAAGCCCAGAATCCAGAGTATCCTGGAAAGCAGCTCCAAAATGGGACGTGTGTGCGCTCCCGGGGTCTGTTCCTGAGAGCAAACCAGATGGGGGAGGCTGCCCTGCTGTGCGAGGACCCCTGAAAGTGAGCCCCCCAGTGCCTGAGCGCCCCGCACCTGAAGCCCCCATATGCGAACCCCCTCTGCACCTGAGCCTCTCTGCGTGTGAACCCTCCGAGCCTGAACCCCGCACGCTTAAACCCCCATGGTGAACCGCCCGAGTGTCCCCCACCCCGAGACTGAATGTGCCCTTCTCACGGAGGACCCCACCTGCTGCCTGTGTAGGGGTGCAAATTCCAGGCTGGGAAAGATTTCTGGGCAAAAGCCAACTGGGGGTGGAGGCCCCCGGGGCCCACCCGATTCCGCCTGCCCCCCTCAACCACACCGTCCCACCTTCACCTCTCCGTATTAGAGCCCCTTTCAGTTGGGGTGTAGATCTTGCTGAGACCCATCTCCCAGCTCCCTGAAAATGGGGCGGCCACGTGACCCGGTGCTGGCCAGTGAGGTGCTGGCACGGGCTACTGCCAGTTTCTGGGCAGGCAACGTAAGAGGACAGCTTGCGGGCTTGCTCCCGCCTCCTTCCCACGACCCTGGGTGGGCACGGCCAAGCCCCACCCGCCGGCTGCCCGCCCCACCCGCAGAGCTAACAAGCAGGGTCACGCCCCAGATTCTTCTGGGCTCCCTTTCGGCTACAGCGGCAGCGGCGGCTGACCCACAGGAGGGGTGGTCCCACCTGCTGTCTCCCCTCAGATCCGTCTCCCGCACGCATCGAGAACTGGCCACAGCAAGATGGGGGGCTGTCTCTGAGGGGCGCTGAGTGTGTGAGGCAGACAGCAGCAAGCCTCAGGGTGCAGCCCCAGTGGCCACACTGGTCAGCGTCCAGAAAGGCGGGAGTTGAGGACAAGGAGCTCAGGGATCTTTGGGGGTGAGGACAGCCCCACAAATGATAGGAGGAGGCAGAACAGTTGAAAATCAACCCACCATGACTGCAAGTCCCACTCCCCGGCACATGGGCAGCTTCGGGTGCCCAGAGCACACAGCCTGGGGAGGGGGGCTGCGCCCCAGCCACGGCCCCCGCCTGCGCTCAGACAGGGCCTGGTTACCTCTGCCAGCTTCCCGTGGAGAATGGCATTTTCCGTTTCCAGCTCAACTATCCTTTCTTCCTTGGCCTGTGAAGAAGTGCAGACAACCAGCGTGGTGGCAGCGAGCAGGGTGCCCGTGGGCCAGCGCTGGGGCCCTGGCGGACCCCGCTCCCTCCTGCCAGGGGCCCAGTCAAAGGGGCTGGTTAGAAACCTGTGCTGCTGCTGGTGCTGGGCAGGTGCCCTGGGCAGCAGTGGGCAGGCCAGGCCTGAGTGGGCACCCTGGTGGGAAGACAGGCGCAAGGGGCGAGCGGGACGCTGGTGGCTGTGCCAGCCCCCTGGGGGAGCAGAGAGGGGCTGGCGGCTGGGGAGAGCCGGGCCCCAGCCAGGGCAGCCTAGCGAGAGTCACGTTTCGGGGCACCATCGTGGTTCTGGTCCCCGCAGCAGCATCTGGGCCAGCAAGAGCCCCCGGCACGCTTGGTCAGGCACCTCAGATGCTCAGCTTCCCACAGGAGCCCCCACGTCCAGGGCCCCTCCAGCTGGACTGACCCTCAGGCCACATCCCAGGGCTCCGAGACTGAGCTCAGGCGCCCCTCGGCGTCCCTGAAGGGGCAAGTCGGGGCCTGGGTGCGCTCAGAGGCGCGTCACCTCCCCCAGCCCCCCCCAGCCCCGCGCGGTGCTCGTCTCCCCAGGAGAACCCACAGCACCCCCGGGCTGCCGCCGGGGCCCTCGCCGGGCTGGCCGGCTCGGGTATCTGCTGAGACAATCCGGGGCGGCCCGGGCCGGCCCTGTGACGCGTGGGGGTGCGGTCCAGCTCGGCACCCCTGGGGGCCTGGGCTCCGGCCCCCCCAGGCCGGGGCTTCACTGCGGCCCCCGGTCGGGATCTCACTTCCCGCAGGCCCGACCCTGCGGCTTTGGGGAGCCCGCGCCCCCGCCTTTTCCAGGACCAACCCCGCCCCCGCCCGCCCCCCGCTTCCCGGCCCCGCCCCCCGCCGGCTCCCAGGGCCCCCCGCCCCCGGGGCGGCCCAACCGCCTCACCTGCACCTGCCGCCGCAGCTGCCCGGCGCGCCGCTCCCAGAAGCCGCCCCCCCGCGCCCCCCGCGCCGCCGCGGCCCCCCGCATGGCTCCCCGCGTGGCTCCCCGCCTTGGCGGAGGTGGGGCGTCTGGGGCGCGGGGGGCGCGCGGATGGGGCGGGGCGGGGCGGGCGCCCTCAGGGAGGGCGCGGGGGCCGCCGCGGGGACACGACGGCGCAGGGGACCCCGGGGCCTGCCGAGGGGCCGGCCGGGCAGCGCCGGTCTGGACGCTGCCCCCCCCCCCGCCCCCCCCCCCCCCCCCCCCCCCCCCCGGGCGGCGCCTGACCCCCTGCGCGGGGCGCCCCGGCCCGACGGCAGCGCCTGGCAAATCCTCTTTCCCGTCGAGGCCCTGGGCAGACCCTGCCCGCCCGGGTCCGGGCAGGAGACGCGGGACCCCACGGGCCCCGGCCCACAGAGGCACCTCGCCCTCCCTGAGCTTGTCCCCCAGCCTCCCGCGCGTTCCCCACTGGCTGGACTGCAGCTCCAGGGGGTCTCTGCCCGCCCTCCCCACAGCCCGCCCGGCCTCCCGGCACTGCCCCAGCCCGCGCCCTGCTCTGGGGCCCCGCGGGAAAGGCCCGAGGGCGCCCTCAACCAGGGCGGGGCCGAGTCTGGGGCCGGGACCCTGGGCGCCCTCCCGGCAGCCGCGGCAGGCAGGGGGCGGCTCCGGCGGGCCCTGGGGTCAGACCCAGGAGCCGGGGCCCTCCGTGCCCAGGACGTCCGCCCCCTGCGGTGGCGGCGCGCAGGACCCCCGCCCCGGGACACGCAGCGCGCAGGCTGGGGACGCGCGCCCTCCCGGCACGAGTCACGGCAGACGCACCAAATACATCAAAGTTTATTAAAAACAGGCGGCGACCGAGATACAGCAGACACGGAGCAGCAGGGCGGCCGGTCCCCGCAGGCGCTCACACTCCCGAGGGCGCGGCCAGGCTCCCGCCGGCTGCCCGCTCCTGGGCACCCACACAGTAGTTCCCCCGCGGCTTCAGAGCGGACGGGCAGAGCCCGGGGCTGCCCTGCGCCCCGGCCCCGCTCGCGGCCCCCGTGCTCTCTTCCCAGCCACGGACGCGGTGAAAACACGCTTTCAAGTAAAAACCCTGATAAACATTAAAAAATATTTACACTCGCGTTTCTGATTCATCACGCGGCTCTCGCGAAAGTGACGGCCGCGGGCGGGGCCGCCCCCCGCGTGGAAGGTGCGCGCGGTCCCCGGCGCGGCGCGGGCGGCAGAGGCGGCTTCCCCCCGCACGCCCGGGCTGTCGGGGTGATGCGCTCGCAGTCAGGGGCGCCGCCGTCCTGCCCCCCCCCCGGGGCGGCGCGGTGAGGCCGTCTCCCCAGCGCCAGCCGCGGGCCCGCAGCCCACGAAGTGACAGGGTGACCAAGAGCCCCGCGGGCGAGAAGGGAGCGACCCCGGCGGACGCAGGAGACCCGGCGAGTCCCGGCCTGGGGCGGGCGGCCTGTGCGTCCGGACAGGTCCCTGCCGCCCGCAGCCCCCCGCCCCCGCCCGGTTCTCGCTCGGGGCAGCTCCGACACCCGGGGTCCCCTTAACAGACCCCCCTGGTGGCATCTAAAACACTCAGTAGTTTCCCACTTAAGTGCCACCTTCACAATCAACAATGGTTTACTAGCCTACTGCAGTCCAGTATTTATAAAAATAAAATTCCTTAAGCTGAAATCCTCGCAGCTGTCTACACCGGCAGAAGTCTTAAAAACCAAACGTTCAGAGCCGATCGGGAGGGCGTGTCCTCTGAGGAACGGGGCCTGGACACGCTGAGAAGGCGCTACAGGGGCGTGGGCCCCGCCGTCCCGCCGCGTGGCCGCGCGCCCGTCTCGGCGAAGACCCTGGGCTCCGTGGGAGTGGGCAGCCGCGCCAGGTGCCCGGCCCAGCCCCTCGCCCTGCCCCTTCCGCTTCAGACTCCTAAGCCGCTAGCCAAGGCTTCTTCGTGTAAGTCAGGCAACGAGGAATCAGACTCTTTAGGTCGTATAAATGGCAATCTCGGCAAAATATAATCTCTTGGGATCGGGGCACCACTGAACCCCGTGTTTGGGAAAAGCAGCGCTGGAGGCGGCACAGGGCGCCCCTCCCCCGCTCCCGGGTGCCGCCACCCTCCACCCGTTCACTTCGTGTTCAGCTCGTTCTCCAGCTCCGTCAGCTTCCGCGAGGCCTTCACTTTGTTGGACACGTCTTGGCCTTGTGAGAAGAGCCGCTGCCGCTCTCGGAACGTCAGGCTCTCGGGGGCTCCAGGCAGACCCGCCTCCTGGCTGCGTGGGGGAAGCGGGGTCAGGGCCAGAGGAACAGCTCATGCACGGCCGGCAGGCCTCCCGGAGAGCCGCGCCGCGGCCGGCGTGCCCACGGTGGGGTCCCTCGGCAGCGCTACCCGAGCGCACGTGGCGGCGCGCCCCCCAGCCCAGGTGCGCCACCACACAGAGGCCGCCGGGGCTCTCCAGCAGGCGCACCCGGGGCTCTCAGGCCGAGCGGGGGGCTGGGCGGACACACCCGCCGCAGCTGCCCGGACCCCGGCGGAGCAGCAGGGGCACCAGCCGCGGAAGGAGAGCGCCGGCCGGCGTCACACCACCACCCGGGCCGGCCCGAGGCCCGGACCCGCAGTCCAGCTGCGGACGCAAACCTGCTGCGAGTCCCCCGGGTCTGCCCGTCCCGCGGCGGAGGTACCTTTTAGACAGTTTCTCCCGCGAGTCGCGATGACCGTCGTGGGCACCGGCAAGAATCCCCGTGGATCCCATGTAGGAGTTTGGACCTTTGCCATGAAAGAAAGAGTCAAAGCTGAGGTGCGTTACCTGCAGAGCCCTCCTGGGCAGGGGCGTGGCGAGGCGAGGCGGGGCCGGGCTGGCCGCACCTCCCGCCGAGGCCCATCGCAGTGCCCACGACCGCCAGGCCCAGGGAGGGCGGGATGTCCGAGGAGCCGCAGCTAAAAGGCCACCCGAGAAGGTCACGATCATTAACTCAGAAGAAGAGTCCACAGGGGATGGACCTCAATGGTCAGCATAGCCACTCGGGCACTGCCCACAGACTTTTTTTTACAAAATCATTGAAGTGGCGGGCAAATGTGGCCCGAAGACGAAGAACAAATCCCAAGCCTGAGGCGCCCCCTTGCGGGAGAGGCGCTGACCTTTCCTTCGGAATAATGACCGTGACCGTGAAAACAAGACCTTTCAGATGAAGCAGCGACCAGCGGACACAGCTGCTGACCGAACACCGACAGGCCCAGCGGGATGGCGCTGGGCTCCGCCTGCCCGGCCGGGTGGGGGGCGCCGCTGGCCGGGGTGTCCCGGGAGCCGCTGCCACCCGCCCGGCCGACAGGAGGCCCCGCGCTGGCCAAGCGAGGAACACGCGCCCCGCACCGTGATGCGCCAGCGGACAGAGAATCATCTTTGGGGCGCGGAGGGCGGAGAGGCCGCCGCCCGGACGCCGCTGATTGAGGCCGAGGGAGGCCGCCGGGCGGCGATCGAGACGCGGGGCTTAATTCTCAGGCGTGAAATCAGGGGGCCGATCGTCCCCGGAGGAGACCCAGGCGGGCAGGCTCCGCGCCGGCTGCGAGCGTGAGACCCAAGGCCAAAGCGCAGGGGTGCGGCTGCCGTGGCGGGGCGGGGGGTTACCTCTCCCTCGGGGCCCCCCGAGCTGCGGGAGGCCGGGCGGCTTTGGCGGGGGCAGGGGTGCGCCTGCGGGGTGAGCGGCGCCGCGGGCCCCGGCCGAGGGGGGCGGGGAAGACCTGGCGAGGACGAGGCCATCGGAGACGGGGCGCGGCCTAGGGGCGGCGGGCGGGCGCCCGGGGGACGGTCTGCGGCGGGCGGGCGCGTCCTGACCTGCCGGGCTGCCGGCCGCCTCCTCCTCCTCCTCCTCGTAGGCGACGAGCTTGGCGGTGTAGAGCGAGTCGGGGGACAGGGCCTGCGCCTGCAGGTAGGAGGCGCCGCGCTGCGGCGGGGGGGGCGGGGGGCCTGGGCTGGGGGGGCCGTAGCCCCGGGGCAGCGGGGGGCGGCCCAGGCCCGGCTCCCCACGCTCGGCCTCGTCGTGCTGCCGGCGCCGCGCGGCCTCCAGGCGGCTGTAGTATCCGTCCTCCTGGCGCCTCTGCGGGGGACACGCACAGGTGAGGTCGGAGGTCGCGGGCCTCGCGCGCACCCACCAGCCCCGCACCTGCCCCGCAAGACACTGAAGCCCCAGGGGGAGCAGCCCCACACCCCACTCCTGAGGCGGCGCCCGCCCTCCCTCGCCTGGCCGCGCTGGGCTCTGCTCCTCCCGGCTCTCCCGACCCGCCTCCGCCTCGGCAGGGAGGTGACTCACCTGTACCGCTGAGGACAAACACCAAACCCCACCCGGCCGGGCCCCGTGGCTCCCGGGCTGGCGGCCTCGCGGCGCAGGGAGCCCCGCCTGCGTCCAGCTCCTCGGGGAGCGCCCGCGACCATCCACCACCGCCGCGACCGTCCCAGAGCCGCACCTGCCCGAGCGCCCCCAGGCCTCGGCGGCCCCCAGGCGGCAGGACGGCCCCCGGGGGCAGGAGCCCCCCGCCCCGACACAGGTGCACAGACCACAGGCAACAGCGTTCAAGGGATTTTAACATGGAAAAAGGCAACAGCACAGTTGGTTCGACACGGACAGGCGCTGGGACGCGAGAAGCAGGAAACGGGGGAGTTAGACGGGGCCTCAGGCCCGCAGCCCGGAGCCCACCCGGGGGCCCCGCTGGCCGGCGCAGGGTGAGGGTGGAGGTTGCGGCCCCTGCTCCTCCTCACGCCTCCGGGGACTCTGGCCTCGCGCCAGTCACCGCCTCCTCCTGGAGGGGACGCGGCAGGCCCAGCCCCGGGACCCGCCTCTCTGTTCTTACTGGGTCCGCCAGGTCCTGCAGGAAAACGTCCTGACGCACTTTCTACACAAAACCAGAGTTCGCTCGGGGCGGGAAGTGGAATCTGGAATGACCCGCGTGGCTTTTCAGTGGAGTGACCAGGAATCTTAGAAATTACGGGAACAGCAGTTGCTGACAGTGCTTGGGGCGCACGCGGGCACGCTAGGAGCAGGCACGGAGGCACAAGTCCCGACGACGCCACCCGACACGCAAGCGAGCACGTTTCTGCGCCAAGCAAGCCCGTCCACGGACACTGCCTGAAAACAGGATGTTCGGCCTGTCTGGCATGGCCGCTCAGGGACGGAAGCAGTGACTGGCCACAGTGCACGCGATGCCAGCACGGGCTGGGAGCGCACGGGACACCGGATCCGCCGAGGGCTTGGAGGGCAGCAGCCGTCCCCACGCCGCCCACAGGCCGAGGGCGCAGGGCGGGCAATCTGACCACAGGCCTGGCCTGGAGGGCCGGGCTGTGCACGCAGCAGGAGCACGGTGGACACCAGGAAGGCTGAGGGAGGGCCAGGTCGGGACTCGCCCTCGGGCAAGGCGCCCCAACCCCACAGCTGGCACGCGGGGCCCGGCTGAGCCTGCCCACAAGCCGCGTGGCAAGAGAGCGGAGGGGCGGCGGTGCGAGGGAGGCCGCGGTCTCCGCGCCCGAGCGCCCCTCCTCCGCTCGCTCTTGCGCAGAGACGCGGGTGCACGTCTGCCGCCTCAGGTCGCCGCTGGCCTGTCCCTGCCAGACCACAAGCCACGAAAGGCCCCCACGCAGTCTTGGGCGGGCGGGGCACCGTGAGTTAGTGCAGAGGAGGAGCAATAAAAACGAAAGCTGCCCGCCGTGCGGCGCCTCCACCTTCACAGAAGGGACGCGGCGGCCAGCGGCAGGCGGCCGGGGCCTGGGGCACCGCGGCGTGGGCCGCACAGGTGGCGCCGCCATGTCCACCCGGGACCAGTGAGGCCAGCTGGCGTCTGAAGATGCAGCTAGGACAACCTGAACGAGAAAACCCACACACGGAACAGACAGCCCCGAACCTCCACTGGCCACGGCCAGCAGGGAGGAGCCTCAGTGGGCATCGGCGGGGCACGAGCAGGCGTCACCCCGGGCCCCGCTGCACCCACGGCCCCACAGCTGCACCCCGTGTGAGCAGGGCTGAACCTGCGCCGCGGCAGGCCTGCCTGGGCCGGGAAAGACAGACCCGGGGAGCCGGCCGGGCCGGGGCCCGAGGTCAGGCCGAGAGAGCTCCGCGCAGGGCCCAGCAGACAGGAGAGGTGGGTAGAGCAGAGCCAGACCCAGGCCCCGGCCTCGCGCCCCAGGACGCGCCCGCCCCTCTGCCCAGCCAGCTACGGCCTAGAGGACCAGGACCTTCTCTTCGGCGTCGCGCTTGGCCCGCTCGTCGTCCTGGCGCCGCCGCTCGTCGTCCTGGCGCTGCCGCTCGTCCTCCTGGCGGGCCCGGTCCTCCGCCTCCCGCCTCCGCAGCTCCTCCAGCTGCTGCCGCCGCCGGCGCTCCTCGTCCTGTAACTAACAGCAGCCCCGTCAGTGCGGCCACAGCGCCGCGGCCACAGCGCGCCACGGCACACACGGGCGCAGACGCCAGGACACGCGCCCGCCCGGGCCGGCACCGCCTGCGCGGCCCAGGACACGAGGGCCTCACACGCCACAGGACAGGCACGACTCTCACACGGACAGACCCGAGGCGAAGAGGGACAAACAGACGCGCGGAGAGACAGAACCCGGCTGACAAACACGCTCAACGCCCATCAAACCCCCCGGCGACGCGAGCCGGGCCCCGGGAGGGCAGCGCTGGCCCTCGCCCCCGGCCGGGGCCTCCCTCCCGCTCCTGCCCACCTCGGCCGAACACGCCCGGGAACGACCCGCCCACGTCCTCTCCCGGCCCCAGGACCCGCCTTTCTGCCACCAGGCCAGCACAGCCACCCTCGCGCCGGCCCGGCCTCGGGGCCCGGCCACACCCCCCGCGCCGCAGGGCAGACAGGCGGACAGACGGCCCTCGTCCAGGACCTGCTCAGAGCACACGCGTGAAGCGCCGGCTTCTGGTCCAAACGGTGTCTGCCTGGACCGAAACCCCCCAAAACCCAGGCTCTCGCGCTCGCCGGACTTCTGAAGAAACAAGAGCGGGCCTCGCGGGGAGGCAGCGGGTTAGCGGGTGCTACACGAGCACCGGCTGCCGGCTCACGGTGACGCCGTTCTAGAAAAGAAAGTGCTTCTAGAGAAGACACCTTCGTTCCCTGAGGCAGAAGGAGTCGGGGCGGGCGGGAGAGCGGCGTGGGGCAGCAGCGGCAGCAGCCGAGGCGGGGACGCCAGGGCGCCCCCCCCACCCCGGCCCCGCGGGCCCCACGGCCGCGTCGCCAGAACTCAGGAGCCGCCAGACAGCCGAGGAGCAGCGGCCCCCGAACGAAAGACGCCGTGAAGCCACAACGAACAACGCCACGGGCAGAGAGGGACCGTGGGGAGACCGAAGCGGCCCTCCGGCGCCCGGCACGGCAGGCGCGGCCGGGGCGAGCCCCTCCGCCTCAGGAAAACAAGCTCCGAGCGCGGGAGGCAGCTCGCCCTGAAGAGCCGGCGAGGCGCCTCCCGCACGCGGAGCACCATTTTCAGAAGGCGACAGTCACAGCCGCCGTCCCGGCACCGGGCGTGTCCTCCGGAGACCCTGCTCTCCGGCGGGGCGGCGGTCAGCCCCCCCCCGTGCCCCCGCCGTGTTCAGGCCCGGCCCCGGGGTCAGCCCCCTCCCCTGGGGGCGGCTTCACACCTCCCTTTCCAGCTTTGAGCTCTGACCGCGAGATGCTCTCCCCCGCCCCCCACAAAAAAGCAGGAAGCAGAGACGAACCCTCCTCACCCCCCCCAGCTCCCAGCGGCGCCGCGCCGGACGGCAGACTCCCGCAGCCGCAGGGCTGCAGGCAACGGTTCCTGGTTTTAAGTCAAAGGAAAGCCTTGAGCTGCCGCGTCTGCAGGAGCTCAGCAGGGACCCGCGGCGCCGACGGCGAGCGGAGACCGCGGAGCCCAGGAGGCGCGGGGACCCCCGCGGCATGCGCGGGCAGCCCCGGGGTGGCCACGGACGGCCCGTCCCCGAGACGGACGCCGAGGTCTGTGTCCGTGACTTGGCCCCACGACGACGTACTGATGCGTTTCTCTCCTGGGAAAGGGAACGTCCTCGCGGTGACAATCCCGGGGCCGGGCCCCGTTCCTCGCCCTCCCCACCGAGCGGACCCGGGCCTGTGAGCGCAAGGCCCGCGAACACCGCTCTGTCGCCCGCCGCAGGGCTGGCCGGGATGCCCGGCAGCAGGACAAGTCCTCCTGGGCCGCGCGGCACTGGCCTGCTCCCGACTTCCCAGCTAAGGGCGACCGGCGGCCCCTCCGAAGCTGGGCCCGCGGCCCGGGGGCTGCCAGTCCGCGCGGCAGAGGCAGGAGGGGCGGGGTGGCGGCATTGCAGGATGCCGGACTCCCCACACACGCCCGCCTGCTCCCCTCCCAGGGGCCGTCTGTCCGCAGGCCCTGGGCCTTCCGGGCCGGTACGAAGGCCGCTGCTTCCCCGGCACGGGCCTCCCTGCAGGCACTGGCAGCCTGCCCGCGGGCTGCCCACACGGTCGCAGCCTGGGACACCAGTGGAGGGGCCCCTAGGAGGAGCCTGTGGAGCCCAGAGTCTCGGGGTGCTGGCTGACCCCCTGCACACTGGACATGTCCCTGCACAACCCGTGCCGCCAGGAGTGGGCACACAGGCAGCTCCCCGCCCCCCCACCCCCGCGCCAGCACACACGGCTGCCTCTGGACGCCTGCTGACCCACCGGCAGGCGGGTACATGGTGGGGGGAGCGCTCTCTAGAGGGCTGGGCACCATGAGGAAGGGTGAGCGCGGGCAGGAAAGGGCCTCGGGCCCCCGGGGCTCCTGGAGAGCTGAGGTGCGGACCAGCACTGGCACGGGAGGCCACAGGGTGGCCTGGAAGAGCACAGCGGCAGGCTGAGGCGGCACCCGTGAGCAGCAGGACGGGCAGGGAGTCTTCAGCCCGGAGGCTTGCACGGGGTCTTGAGTGAGGGTGTCAGTGGGGACAGCAGACGCCCGGGAGGCGGCAGACAGCAGGCGGCAGGTGGCGCTGGGCCCCGGGCTCCCGGGGGAGCTGCAGGCTGACCTCCTTTCTGGGACCTGGCAAGGTGCCAGCCTCCCCCCCCCATCGCACCCACAAGGAGCCCCAGGGCTCCAACACCGCACAAGGCCAGGAGGCCCTGGCTCCGCCCCGGCAGGGGAGGCTGCTGCGGGGGCCTGAGGTGTGGCAGTCGAGATCCGTGGGAATGCCGGAATCACCATCTTTCAGAGAAAAAAAGGGATGAACTATTTCTGTGAAAGAAAAGCCTGGTGTGGACTCACGGGCTCTTGCCAGCACACAGCCTCCGCCAGAGCTGCCCAGCTGGCGGGGCCGCGCCCGGCACGCAGCAGGAGGCAGGAGAGACACAGCTGCTGCATCTCACCCGCAGCGGAACGACATCAAGCCCAGAGAAGATGCCTCCAGTCCCCACGGAGGGCGGACTCGTCCGGGAGAGGGTGCTCTGGAGGGACGCTGCCGCCGTGACGTCCCCCCCCCAAAGACGGGGCTGTCACTGGGGGAACGGGCCCAGGAAGTCCCAGCTGCCTGCACCAGGGGCCCCGGGACCTCTGACGCGCGCCTCGGCCACTTCAGTGCTGGCCCAGACAGGGGCCGCCAGGGCTGCCGCCGGTCAGGGCTCAGGCAGGACGGCGCCCCCTCCGCTGGGGCCGCAGGCACAGCCCAGGGATCTGGGCCCCCCCAGCCCCGGGCCCCCGCACGGGCAGGCCCATTCAGCGACAAGAACAAAATAGGTCATTTGTCGCAAAATTCAGGTGCGCGTGCGCTGATGCCCCCGTGAGATGCGCAGAATCAACTTACGATTAACACAGAGAAAAGGTCAAAACCACGAACGAACAGAACACGAGAAGGGACGGAGAGGCGGGCGCGAGGCCACCACACCGGGCCACGGCCCGGACGCCCTCGCACACACACCAGCACGACGGAGGAAGGAGGTCAGGACAGGAGGAAGGACCGAAGGCCAAGAAACGAGGACATACCAAATCTAGAACAGAGATTGCTGGCAGAGCAGTCTGCTGCAGGCGACAGAGAGGGAGAAAAGAAAGGCGAGGTGTGAAACGGGTTCGGGTTGGCCCTGCCCCTCCACCAGCTCAGCCGCCGCCGCCGAGGGCTCCCCGAGGGGCAGCCGGGGCCCCGGGCTGACTCCCAGGTGTCAGAACGGGGACGTGTCCGCCGGCGTCGGGCAGGCGAGCCCCCGCGTTAGGCGAGCCCCCGCGTTGGACACGTCCGCGGAGCACATCAGCTCCCGACTCTTCCTCGGGGACTGAGACGTGAGCCCGACCGTGAGTCGAGACACGCGGCGGCTGGAGCTGCGCCGTCACAGAATCCCCTGCGCACACGCTGCTTCTCGCGCAGAGGCCGCGGGCCGCGGGGCTCTGGCTGTCTGGACAGGGCGCTCCCCGCGAACGCGGGGCCGCCCGGCAGGACAGCGCGGGGGTCCTCGCGGAGCCGCCGGCTCTTCTGTCATTGACAGGGTCGCCCCAAAACATGAACGGCGCCTGCTTTTTCACACAGACCCCGGTTCTGGCGTCAGGGCTTAACTCCAGGGGCCGTCCTTCCCGCGCGGCGCGGCCTGGCGCAGGGCTGGGCTCTGCCCGCAAAGCGGAGGCCTCTCGGGGGCTCCTGTGCCGCACGAGACTCGGCACCAGCCGTTTAAAACAGGCTCTTTCAGATAAAACCGTCGGGACGGCGAGGCTGTCCCTCCCGCGGGGCCTGCTCTGAGCAGTCGGACGCCCCGCGGGACAGCAACAGCCGGCCGTGGCCCTCGCCTGAGGGGCGGGCGGGTCGGTTCAGCACCGGCCCAGAACGCGGGCGGCCGGCGTGGGCGGAAGAGGCCGCCCTGAGGGCCCCAGGCTCTGGGCCGCCGCCCGCTGCCGGGCCGCCCGGGCGGGAGAGTGGCCGCGACCACCGTCGCTGGTGTGGCGTCCAGGCTTCATGCCGGAAGGTGGAATTTTAAAGAAAATCCAAGACGTGAAAAGGCCTTTAGAATATTCGATCAAAAAGGAAAAACGAGTAAACCGCGAGGCTCCGCGGCGACTCTCCCGGGAGGGCGGCCGAGAGCCTCCTTCCGCCTCTCACTGGGCATTTTCGCCACTGGCTGCGCTAAACCGCTACACACGTTACCTTTCTCCGCGTGTCCCGCACGGCAGGAACAAGCGCTGTCGTGACGGGGGGCGTCGAGAACACCCGCAGGCCCCGCGTCTCCAGAGCGAGCCGGCCCCGCCCGGCCCGCCCCGCCCGGCCCGCGCAGCGGGGAGGCCCGAGCAGAGGTCACCTTCTCCCCTGGCCGTGCTGGGGACGGGCCAGGGCCGGCGGGGGGTGCCGGCCTGCAGGGCGCCCGGGCGTGGGGCACAGGGCCCTGCGGCCCAGGAGGCCTGAGGAATTTACTTTCTGGCCCCTTAGGAAGAAAACCCGCCCACCTGCTCCGGCTCTAACTGGCCCCCAGCGGCGCTGGCCCACCGCGTGTCCTCCGGCCCCTCCGCCCCCACGGCCCTCACCCGCGCCCTGCGCTCGGCCTCCAGGCGCTGCATGAGCAGCAAGGCGTCCACGTCGTCGTCCTCGTCGTCCTCGTCGTCCTCGTCCTTCTGCTTGGCCTCCTGCAGCCGCTTCTGGAACTGCCACTCCAGCATGAGCCTGCGCAGGCGGTCGCTGTCCTCGGCGCTGCGCTCCGGCTTGCCCTGCAGCTCCTGGATCTCGGCGCTCAGCATGTCCACGATGTGCATCTGCTGCTGCTTCTCCAGCTTCTCCCGCGCGTCCCGCTTCCAGGGGTCGGGGGACAGGCTGTCCCCCGAGGCCAGCCCCTCCTTGCTCACGGTGATGTACTGCAGGTCGCGGCGCTCGATGGTGCGCGGCTGCTGCTGGGGCTGCAGCTCCCGGATCACCGTCTCCGGGGGCTTCTCGGGCTTCAGCAGGGGCGCGGGCGCGGGGCCGGGCGCGGGGCCGGGCGCGGGGGGCGCGCGCATCTGCCCCAGCTTCCGCTCCTGCTCCCGCCGCCTGCGCTCCCGCTCCTCCTCCAGCCGCGCCTTCTCCTTCTCGTACCAGCGCTGCTGCTCCTCGCGCTTCCTGCGCTCCGCGGCCTGGGCCTGGGCCTGGGCCTGGGCCTGGGTGGGGGCCGCCGGGGGGCCCAGCGGGCCGGGAGCAGGCGGCGGGGGCAGAGGCAGATCCGGGGGGGCCCCGTCAAAGTCACTCGGGCAGCGCACGGGGGGCGGCGGGGGCGGCGGGGGCAGGTCGGAGGGCGGGGGCGGGGCGCCGGTCCCGGGGGTCTTCCAGCGGCCCGGCCCGCTCTTGGTCAGCGTGGAGGCCGGGGTGCCCGTCTTGGAGGAGGGGGCCAGGTGCTCCTGGCTGCACGCGCTGGAGCCCAGGGAGGAGCTGGGGTTCACCCACACGTCGCTGTCGCCCCTGCGCCCCAGCGGGAAGGCGAGGTCGTCCCGGAGCTCCTCCTGCGAGTGCGCCGCGCGCTGCCCGGGGAGAGGACACGGCACGTCACCGCTCCCGCGGACAGGGCTGCAGACCCACGCGCGCATCCTCCCCGGGGGCAGCAGATCCCGGAGTGGCTATGGGGGTCCTCGGTGCCGCGGGGAGGGGGCGGCCACAGCCTCAGCCCTCGGCAGCCAGAGGCTCTGCGGGCACCGCGGGGAGCTCTCGGCCCGGCTGGTGGCATTTCTCAGCGCGAGAACAGGCGCTCCTCACGGTCGTGCGCTCCCTGCCGCCCTCTCTCCAGACTCCAGCCCAAGCCACCAGAGAGAAAGAGCAACAGCAGAGTTGCCCAGAAGCCTCGGGCGGCCCCCCACCGCCGCCCCGGGGTGGTGATCCAGGCTGCGGCCTCACCTGCAGGGCGGCGGCGGTGGGGCTGCCATCCGGATGCGCCAGGGCCTTTTCCTCATAACTAGGCCACTGGGTGGCGGGCGGAGCCGAGCGGTCCTGGGCCCTGGCGGCCGGGAAGGTGAAGTAGTCCCTGGTGTAGGTCTGCGTGGGGATGGGGTAGGCCTCGGGTCTGGGTGGGGGCGTCTGCTCCTGCGCACGGGAGGAAGAGTCCTCAGTTTGGACAGTGGGAGAATTAGAATCCCAAAGAGCTGTTTTAAAATACGGCAAATACTTGAAAAACGGTCAGAAACGACAAGCGTCTGTCTCACACAGAGGGTAGCGAAAACCACTTTGCTTTGCCCAGACGCAACCGTCTCCGCCTCTGCGCCCGTCGCGCTAGAACACGGAGACGCGACGCCGAGAATCGCGCGTGAGCGGGCCGAGCGCCGCGCACCCCCCACCCGCTGGAAGACGGGCGCCGCGGGCCTGGGGCGAGACGAGCTGGCTCATCTGCCGACCTCTGCACACAGGTTCCCCGTGGACACGGACGTGATCCTGGCTGCTCCGGGGGCGGGTGGGCCCTTCCCACTGGGGCTGGGAGGCTGATCTGTGGAGTCGGGGAGAAGAGAGGACGGCTAAGCCCGCGGTCCCGACGGGACGACCCCCGTGGTCCCGACGGGCGGGGCACCCACACGGCGCGTCCCGGGGCACAGGCGAGCCGGTGCTTTCTGGGGCCCGGATCGCAGCGCCAGGGCCAACAGCCTGACCCATGACCAGAGGCTGAAGCGTGTCCAGGGTGGCTGGACAGCGACACGGCAGCCTGGGCACGAGTGTCCGCCCACACCCCGCGCTCCTTCCCGCGCGGCCCTCGGGAGTGGGATGGCGCGGCCTTCCCGCAGGAGCCTGCCCGCCCCCCACGGCGGCGGGTGCGCCGGCCTGCACGGCGGCGGGCGGTGCTCCCCGCACGGGGCGGGCGCTTACTGGCGACGTTGGGGCTGGAGCGGTGGTCGGCTCTGTTCTTCACGAGCCTGTCGTCGGCCGGCAGCCGCGTGGGCTCGCTGTACTCGGCCCAGGGCAGCTGGGGGCTCTCGGGGGACCCGTTCTGCGCGGAGCTGTTGTAGAGCTCAAAGCCTTCGCTCTTCGGCCGGGGTTTGCCTGGGCCACGACGGTCTGAAACTGCAAGGGAAGGCGCGGGGGCGCGTCAGGGGTGCGGGCCGCTCTGAGCACCCCGCTCAGTTTGAGAAGACGTGTCTTCAAACACCGAAGGTTCCCAAAGGGAGATCTTTCGAGCAGAACGAACAGCATCTCCACGTCAGGGAGGACTTCCCTGAGGACGCACAAGTCTTAACGCCACGTTCTGCTGGAGCTGGTGGAAAAAGCACTTTTTCAAAGTTGACTTTCACGTGAACTTTCCTATTTCAAGTAGCAAAAGTTCTCATTTTTTAAAGCCAAAGGTAAATAAATGCACTTCCCCCACTTCTTACAGCAGGTCAGCTCTGGGTTGTCAGGGCGGAGGGCCCTGGGCCCCGCCAGCCCTGACCTCCCGCAGCCCCCGGCCCCTCCCCGACTGGGACCGACAGGCATGCTGAGCGCTAGCAGGAGGGCGAAAGGCTGAGCCGGGCCCGGGCTCCAGTGCGGCCTCCAGGCAGGTCCTGCTCCCGCACGGTTCAGCGGACACGGGCGCGGGTGCCCGGGCTCCTGTGCTCGCGCAGCAGGGCGGCGACCACACCTGGGATCTGTGTCTCTGGACACGGGCTTCCACCTGAGAGCGCGTCGGCCAGCTCGGGCCCGGCACACGCGCCCCTGCCAGCGTGCTGCGCGCAGGCCGGCCCACCGCCGCCCCTCCGGGAGCAGATCCGCGTGTTCTCTGAGGACTTGACCCACAGCTGACTGGCCCTCCTCTGCCTCCACCCGACCGCGGTCTCTGCGTGGCCTGCCCCGCCAGCCTGCGCAGAGGGAGGCCAGACGGGGCCTAGGGAGTGACAGCAGGCTGCTAGGGCGCTGGCCGCGCCTGGACCCTGGACCCAGGACTGTGAAGCGCCCAGCGCCCTGCAGGTGGTCCCTGGGAACACTCGTGGGGGGCGGGCACGCAGGGCACTCGCCCGCCTCAGGCCTCACCTCTCTGCATCATGGGGGACGGCTGGTTGAGCAGGGTGGCCAGGCCGTGGTAGATGGCGCCTTGCTTTGCCACTTCCAGTGTCACCACCGAACTGGTTCTGGTCATGAGCTCTGCGGCCCTGGGGAGAGAGGGCCGCCCCGGAGGCAAAGGAAGTTCAGGGCCTACTCTGTCCGGCGGGGGCGGGCGAGCACGCCACCTGCCGCCCGCACCAGCACCGACCGAGGCCCACCACCCACAAGGACACGCGCCCGCGAGAACCGGTGAGCCGATGCTGTGAGACATCGGAGCGCTGAGCCTGGGCGCTCTGCAGGCTGCCCGGAGCCGCTCCAGACCAGGCTAGAAGCTGGCAATTTGTGGGTGAAGGAAACGTCAGCTGCGCCCAGAGCCTGCGCTCGCAGAGGCCCCGAGCAAACACAAGCGTACCTTTCCTGAGAGAGCCCCACCAGACTCCGGCCGTCCACGCTGAGGAGCTGGTCGCCTGCGGCCAGTCGTCCATCCTGGGCCAGTGTCGGGAGGCAGGCGCCGAGGGGCAGGGAGGGATAGGGCCGTCAGCAATGTGCCCCTCGGGCCATTCCCCAGGGAGCCCAGGGCTTCGGGACAAGGCGCCGCCACGACACCCAGGCCTGTGCCAGCCCGCGCCACACAAGCCGCGCCCGCATACTGACCACGTCGGCGGCGCCTCCCTTCACGACAGACTTGACGTAGATTCCGAGTTTATCTTGACCAGCACCCTGGGGGAGGAGAGACAGGTGGAAGTGGGCATGGAGCGGCGCTGGGCGAGGCTGGGGCCCGGCTCTTTCCACGCAGAGAGAAAGCACGCGGGCGCACGAACACTGTGCCGGGGAGCTCAGCCTCTTCACTAAACAGACAGCAGCAGGACGTCCACAAGCCTCAGACTCCAAGTAAGAAAACCCGCTCCTCAAAGCCAGGGGCCAAGGCGCCTGTGGCGAGTGGGGGGCCGCAGGTCCCGCCCACCGGGCACCAGGGCAGCCTGGCCCTGGCCGCTTCCTTTTCCCATTAAAGAAAACTGCTGCGGGGGCCTTGCTGTCCCAGCCAGCCAGACACTGGCAAGCAGCTAAGGAAAGGGCCTCACGCCGTGGGGCTGAAGAGTCCTCGTGCCTCACACCGTGGGGCTGAAGACGGAACATCCCTTTGTTTTTTGTCCTCGGTCATAATAAGAAAAGAACCTCTCGGTAAATACATTGGGCAATAAAAGATACGTATAAGAACCTTGTAAGTACGTGGCACAGAGAATTACTTGCTTAACCATTAAACACTGAATAATTTGGCCCGCTTGACAACGGGAAATAATCCCTGTGCACGGGCATGTGCCTGCGAAGCAGCCCCGAGCTGGCCGCAGTTTTCCTTACATGGACGTTCCGTAAAGGAGCCTTGAAATGATTCATCAAGTTGATTACGCCGGGAGTGTCTAGGTAGGAAAAAGTTCTAATAACTGATAACCAGGAAGCAACTGGTCTCTGGCTGCAGGCCACGCGGACAGCGCCGTCTCCTGACACTGCAGCCTTGGCGACAGGCGGGGCCGAGGACTGCTCGCTGACCCAGGGAGTTGTTTAGGCTGAAATAATGAGTCTAAATTTTAACTATCTATCAACTTTTAAGGTCGTTTCTTTTCCCAAAAACACGTAGGCGCCAAAACGTCCATGGGAAAGGAACGTACTGATTGTTTTTGTTCTGCTTCTGTGCATGCGATGATGTCATCCCATCATGGCCTTAACGTATAAAGACCCGCTGAGGCCCTCCGCAGCCGATGCTGGCACCAAAATAAGAGTGTCGGCGTCTGCCGTACCCCGCCCCCCCTCAGGTTTGGCCTCGGCCGTCTCATCCTTTCAGGGACACCTGACCCGACATTCTGCCGGAACTGGTCTTCGACAGAAAACCACCACCAGCGTCGGCGTATCAGCCGGTATCTTCATGTGAAGCTGGAATTTCAAATTAAAGCCAACGTGCAGCAACCCGCAGGGGTGCCCTGGCCTGGCTCCCTGGGCAGCGCTGGGCCTGCGGGAGCCTGGGCACGCGACGGACTCACTCCAGGGCGCCAGCCCCCAATCAGATGCCCTCACGGGCCGGGCGTCGCCGCCCTGCCCTCCGCTGTGAGGCTCGGCTGTGCCCCAGCAAACACTGGTGGCCCGGCCGGGGCTGAGCTCTGGGGCACACCAGGCCCGCACCGGCAGCCAAGCTCAGCAGGCAGAGGGCTGCTCCCTCCCTGGGGTCCGTCCCCGCGGCCTGAGAAGGGACTGCAGACCCTGGAACAGCTGCCTCGGGGCAAGCCAGGGGCTTCAGACACAGAACCCACCAGAGACTGGAGGGCTCGGAGCCCCGAGGCCCTGAAGACGCGGGGCAGCCGCCTGGTCTTCCTCGATGGACGTTCAGCCGAAGTCACTGAACAAGACAGGACAGACCGCCCCACCCTCAGGGCCGTGCCCTGTCCAGTGGCCGTTCCGGCTGGGGCTGGAGACCCCCACTTCTCCTCCCGGGACCCCGGCAGCACGGCCGGCCAAGGAGGCCCTCGAAGCACAGCTGCTTCTTACTTGGGCTTTCAATGACATCAGAGCGAGGTTCCCGCTGAGCTTCAGCTCCGGGCAGGTGGCCACGCCCACACCCCCGGGGGCTTCTGGAAGGATCCTGTGACTCCGGTGAGAAAACCAGCCTTTCGAGGAGGCGCCGACAGCGTCCAGCAGCAACGCCAGCGACACGGTCTCCTGGTGTTAGCGCAGCAAACACCGGATACTTTGAAACAATAAGCCCGGCCCCCCCATTTCTGGTGGGCTCGTAATTACTTTTCAATACAGACAAGAACTCCCACTGCAACAGGAGAGACAAGCGCAACGGGAGAGCCGTTCCTCCATAAAGCCCCAGCCGGAGAGATGCAGCAAAAGGAGGCAAGTGTCCTGTGCCCTCAGCGGGCCGCGTGCCGGTCTTGAGTCGGGCCCCCGCAGCCTGGGGGCAGCACTTGCACCCCACTGTCACCCCCACGACGGCCCTGAGAAGCGGCTCCCCGCGGCGGGTGCGGACCTGAGGCCTAAGGTGCAGTCACGTCCTTCAGCCCCAAGGACGCCCCACGGGCCGCGCCCCCGCCCAGCCCCCACCCCACCCCCCCCCCCCCCCCCCCCCCGTCACCTCCGCGCTGGTTTAGGGCCTCGTGACAATGCATCGTCGCCAACAGGGCACCGTGAACTAAATGTTTTTAAAAAACACTCGGGGTGCAGGGCAGACTGCACAAGCAAAAAATTCTGATCTAGACTATTTTGGGGGTACTCGGGCTTTGGCTGGCAGCTGAATCTCCGAGGCGTGGTCTCAGCCCCCTGCTCTCCATCACTGGTCTCCCTTCTCACACGTCACCATCTCGCCAGTCTCAGCCCCCACAGACGCCCCTGTCTGCAGACGCCCCGGCCCCCGCGCGCCTGTGTGACCCCCGCACTGCACACACGCCCAGCCACACCCCGGCAGCAGCCGCAGCAAAGCAGCGCGGCGCGGAGATCAGCCACTGCGGCGCCCCTCGCTCTGAAGACTTTTGGCTTTTCACCCAAACACCCCTAAATTCGACACCCTAAGGGGACCCCCTGGTCTTCACCCAGCCTCGCGGCCGCGCCTAAAACATCATCCTGACTGGACGAGACGCAGTGTGGGCCCTGCAGCCCCTGGCTGCCCGGCAGCCGCCCGGGGCGGCCACAAACTCACTCACGTCACAAACACTCAGCTGCGGCCTTCGTTCTGAACAGCGATGCAGAAAACCACCTGACCCTACGAGGCTGACTCACGGCAACTCTGCTCCTCTCCTGCCACCCGGGAAACGGGCCGAGAAAGGAGGCCCCTCCGCTCTGCGACCGCGGCCTGGCCCTGAGCGCGGCCTGGCCCGGGCCACAGGCCACATGCGGGAGCTGAGCGGCCCGGAGCCCCCGCCAGGCGTGAGCGCGGCCGGGCCACGGCTCGGGGGGACCTGCGCCGGCTCTTGCCACGTCGCGGCGCCCTGGGCACGCCACGCGCGATGGAGCAACACGCTGTACAAGCTGATTTCACTGCTTTTTCTTTTAAACTGTTTTACACGCAGCCAACAGCAGCTTTCGGGTGACGTGGCTGACACGCTGCCCATTCTGGGAGAAAGTGTGTGATCAGGCAGGCAACCGAGAACAGCAAGACCTTGTAACACGACAGTGCCCAGGCCGACGCCCCACCCGGCAGAGCCGGCAGAGCACCCCAGGACTCGGAGCCTGTGGCCTAAGGCTTGTCTGCGAGACTCTGGGCTCCGCTCGGTGGATGCCACCGGGGACAGGGCGGATGGCACGCGGCCTCGTGCCAGCCTGCGGATGCTCGCTGCCCTCTGCAAACCAGTCCCGTCACTGTTTCGATCGACAAGGACTCATCTCCACCTGGTGCCCTCAAGGTGGTCCCCAAAGCTCTTCCAGACACTCCCACCTTTCACCTCCCCGCCGCCACAGCAGTCCCTCCCTGCGGACGGGAGAAGTAAGCTCCGATTCTCTGTTCCACCCCTTCCAGGCAGCCTCCAGACACGTACGCTGGCGTTTGGAACTGTGCCTGTGGTCTCCCTGCTGTCTGTGGAGACGAGCGGGAAGCGCGGCGGTTCAGAGTTGCCCTTCTCTCATTCAACAAAAGCCTCTTCAGAAGGTCCCTGGAAAGCAGTGACATGTTTCAAGGCATCCGGAATCACGAATTTCACTACATTATCTCTGAATTCAGTCCCACAAGCTTCAATGCTAGAAGTAAGTTCTGGAACCTCCAGGCACACTGTCCCCCAGGAAGCAGTGTCCACGGTGCTGCGCCGCGGGCAGCTGGCCCTCGACCCCCCGGACTGCGCACGAGGAACAGGCCCGCCCGGCGGTGGCAAGTGGTGGGGGGAGACCACGAAAGCCTGGAGCCAGGTCCCTAAGAGCAGCAGGGGCTGCCGCCTTGGGCGGGCCTCACCTGGAGGGGGAGCGCCTCCTGAGGAAGGGCAGGTGGGTGTGGAAGGGGGGTGCTTGGGGGAGGCAGGACCAAGAAGCCAGAGGAGAGGAAAGAGCCGGGACGCCGCAGGAGAGCGAAGGGGTCAGAGCAGGTAGAAAGGGCTCCAGGAGGAGGACGAAAGGCAGAAGCCGCTGGGCACGCGGCCGGGGAAGCGCACGCGACAGGGCCTGGGGGAGGGGCTGCTGGTACCTCACTGTCATTCTCGCCTCTGGGAGGGAGAGCAGTCCTCAGGCGGGGCTCTGCGCCTGGGAGCGGACAGTCGCGGACAGTCGGCCGCAGCAGGGCGCCTCCCCAGCACAGTCAACAAGAAGGGCGGGGCAGGGCGGAGGAGGGCCCGCCAGCCTTTGTGCCGGGAGCCGCTGGGACAATAGGGGTGACCTCAGCGGGCCAGGAAAAGCCATCAGGCCCCAGGAGAACTGCCCACCGGCCTGGGCAATCGCTTCCCTGGTCCCCCAAGTGCATTCTAAATCAAAAACGGCAAAAGCTAGCCTCCGGTTTCAGAAACACTGTAAAGCACCCTCTTTCTGGCGAGCTCTCACTGCCTCAGCTCTGAAATAACCAGTTCCACAACTCGCTCCCACAAGGGGCCCCAGCGCGTGGGAGCAGGACGGCGGGGCCGCACAAGTCTGGGCTGCTGGGCAGGCTGGGCCGGCCTCTGCTCCCCGGCGCCCAGCCAGGGGCTGGATCGCAGACGCTGGGGCTCAGGCAGTGACCGGCTGGCGAGTGGCCCTGGGGCCTCCCGGTGACCTGACAGGCAGCAGTAAGGGACAACTGCCCAGAGGGCAGCTGGAGAGGCTGGGCCAGGGGAGTGACCCTTGCCGCCCTCTGCCTCGGCCCAGCAGAGCCGCGCCCACGGGGGGGACAGGCAGCCGGAGCAGCCGCCCCGACGTTGCCGGCTCCCGTCACGTCAGCACTGTCTGAACTCAGCGCTCAGAGCTCCAGCTCTCGAGCCATTATTAAGTCAGCAAATATTACTCTTTTCTATAATCTGGTTTTATCTTTGTAACAAGAACACAAGGGATGCTCCACATTGATGAGCGGGGCCCAGGGCCCCGCTGGGCCGAACGGTGACCTCAGCGCTGGCCAGGAAGAGCCCCCACCGCAGGCGCCCCGGCGGCAGGAACCCGGCGCTTCCTGACCTCGTTTGTTTGTTCGCTGGTCTCTCCCACGTGGCTGTGAGAGGGCCTGGAGGGCCAGCAGCGGCCCCGCTCAGACTCAGACTGGCGGCCCTGCTCCCCCGCGCCCCTCCCCGCGGCCCGGGGCCCCCCCTCCCCGCGGCCCGGGGCCTCTCCCGCCCCCTCGCCGGCACCTCCTCCCTCCCGCAACCATTTTCAAATAAAATAAAAGAACCAACCCCCGCACGTTCTAATTGCCGTCCTCACGGTGACTCTGAGAAAAGGCCGAGTGTGAACACCCGCCCCCTGCCCGACGCGGCCGAGGGCGGTGGCCACCACCCCGGAGCTCCAGGACTCACGGCAGGGCTGTCTCTCCGTTCAGAGAGCGGCCGGCTCCCTGCGCCCGCCTGGCCCCTGAGAACCGGCAGCTCCGACACACAGAGCAGCCAGCGAGGGCGCAGCTGCCGGCCGCTGCCCCCCCCCGCCCCGTTCACTGACAGGCCCGAGCGGGCCCGGGAGAGGCTTCCTCCCACTCACCGCAGCCACCCGCCCCCCACGCCGCGCTCGACTCACCGCCAGCTCGGTCCTCCCGACAACGGAGAACCACATCCTGACCCGCGGCCCGAGGCCTCTCGGCCCCGGGCGCTGCACACGGGGCCTGCGCGGGCCCACAGGCGCCGGCGCGGGGACCGCAGGGCGTCTATCAACACGACCCAGAGCCACGGAGCATTCCGACTCTTACGTAACCAGGCGGCTCCGATTTGCCTGCACTTTGTACTTTATTAAACTTTAAAAAGAACTGGAAAAATAAAAAGGAGGCAGTTGTTTGGAACCTTAAAACCCAAACTAAACAGGAAGCCTTGGGCTGTCCGAGAGGAGCAGGCAGCGGCACAGACACTTTCCCAGAGCAACTTCTGCAAAGGAAAACTGCAGGTCCACCCTTCCAGGCCGCCTGGACTCCCTCAGCCGGCCACAGCAGAGGGGACGCAGGCTGCGTGCGCAGCCAAGCCCTACGCCAATCGGGAGAGCCGCAGGACGGGCCAACAGAGACCACGGCGCCAGCAGGACAGGAAACCGCGTGGCCAGCACAGGGCTACGGGCTGACGCCGGATCAGTGGCCTCGGGCTGGGCTGCAGGACAGCACGTGCTCCCCAGCGGACCCACAGTACAAGGCAGGGGCCAGCCCCGCCCCGCCGCCCCGGCCTGCTCCCCCCACGGTTCAGAGGCAGAGGGGAGCTCCACACCCAGGCCCACAGCTCTTGGGTGGCAAAGGCAGGCCCTGCCCTGCTAGGCTCCAAGCCTTTGGCAATGTCCTACACTGCCTCGGGGGCAGACGTGCGGGGGCGAGAGGGACAGCTCTCGGGGCAGGGGTGCAGCCCCAGCCTTCTCCCTGCCTCGAGCTTGCAGCACTCGGGGGGCCGCCAACCAGGGCTGGCTGCCTGGCATGAGCAGCGAGGTCAGCACTGGGGACACGGGGTGAGTGGTTTTCTGGGCCTTATGCTGCTGCCCGCGGACCCAAGACACTGCAGGTGAGTGGGAGGAAAGCGGACCCCAGCCAGCCACCGCGCCAGAGACCCGCGTCTCAGGCCACGCGGGTCCACACTTGTGCGGCAGGTGCCACTGTCCACGACCCTGGGACATCGCCGTGCGCCTGCGGGGAGGCCCTGCCGAGGACAGGATCCGCCGGGATGGGCAGGCTCTGCCCACGCACGGGGCTGGCAGCGCCTTTAGTTTCCCAAGGCGCGGCACCCTTGGCCCCTCTCCACGGCGCTCACACCTGCTGCCAGGGGCCCCGCCCTCCCAGAGGCGAGAATGACCCGGCTGGCACGGGTCTCCTCAGGCACACGCTCCTCCCACAGCTGCACCCGAGGCGCCGGCCCCACGCAGGCCGCAGTGTCGCACCCACCTTGGCCGCCACGATGCTGAGGCCCATCCCGTTCTGCTTCTTCAGGGTCACGGTGATGACTTCGGGCTCTTTCCTCAACGGGTGAGTCTAAGGACAGAATCAAAGGCTGTTTCACCGTGGAGAGGGGAAGCTGCCAGGAAGCAGGGAGAGCAGGGGTGACACACGCGCCAGGAGCCTGACAGGTGACCCTGAGCGCCGTGCGGGCCACACGACGCTCCCAGGGCCGAACTTACACCACCACACTCCCAGCATCATCGGGAGCGAAACTAAAGATCTGCCTGTGTTACCTCCAGGAAGAAGTGCCCGGGCTTCTGCAAAGAAACTGAGCCCCATTTTACACCCGATGGGGAGGGCAGCGACAGAAGCGACCCGCGCCTCTGGCTCTCGGTAGTGGCGGCCTCAGCAGGGCCACGCAGGGAGCAAAGCCAGGCACCGGGCGGCCCCGATGGGGCTGCGTGAGGCCTGTCGGGGGGGCTCTCGGTCGCAAAGGAATGGGAGCGAGGCGGCCACCGTGGCCACGGCGGCGCGGAGGGGACGCTGGGGCGCGCACAAGGGCGCACGGCCAAGGGCCCTAACACGACTCGCCCGCCCAGGGCCAGAGCCAGAGAGAGCACACTTCAAGGGAAGCAAGACGAGAGGACGTCAAAACTGCTTAAAGCCAAGGCCTGCGCTCCCAGGGGCCCTGCACACACGCAGAGCGCCGGCGTCTCCCCTCCAAGGCAGTTTCCCTACCAAGCCCGGCAGGGGAACTGCTGCTGTCACCTGGGGCTGGAGGAGCCGCCTCTGGAGGACCCACTCGGAGTGCTGGGGGTGGCGCAACCCCCGTGGGCGGCCCCTCGCTGCGCAGACACCGCGGCTGACGGCGTGCTCAGGTCAGGGGCCGCTCGCGGGACGGAGGCTGTGGAGCCCAAGGGCCGCGGCGCTGCCTTGCACCTCTCTCCTCTGGGTCCGAGGCGAGGCCTGGCCCGGCCACGTGGAGGTTCCGGACAGCCAGCCTGGGCCTACCCGCTGAGGAGACTCGCCCCTCCTTCCCGGACCAGCAGCGGCCTGCACACTGCACTCTGGCGCCGAGGGCACAGGCGACCGACTGCCACGCCCACAGCGAGGTCACCCACGGCGGCCTCGACAGACGTGTGCTCACTTCTGCTCGGCCCTCGCTGGCCCCGTGACTGGCTTGGGAGCCGAGAATGGCAATTACAGAAAAATATTTGAAGTAAATAAAATGTACCAGGCAGTTCAAAAGGCAGCGGCGCTGTGTCGGCACCTCCCTGGACGGACACAGCAGACACGCCAGGCGGGCGGGCCGGGCCCTGGGCCTGCTCCCGCTCTGCCAGGCCGGAGTGTCCTCACTTGGTGGAAAGTCTCCGCGGAGCAAAGCGGAGTGTCCCTTATGACCGAGCGGCTGTCAGTGCCGGGACTGACCCCTCTCAAAGACTGGGTGGCAGCCAGCGCCCCGACGCGCTTCGAGAGGGCAGAAGCGCGGAAAGAAAATGCTTTTCCCAAAGAAAAACACTCTGGTGAGACGCATTAGCCGACCACTTGCACTCGCTTCTAGACCCGGCTGCGTCACGGCTGCTGCGAGCGAGCGCGCACGAGCTCAATGTTTAAAAGGACCTTCGGTTCAGACGCCACCGCTAAAAACTGGCATAGATCACGGGTGAGGACGTTCACATGAGCTTGGGCTTGAAAGGAGACGGGAAGGCGCTCTGCCCGTGGGCGGCGCTGCGGACCCCCCGGCGCCCACCCCGCGGTACTTGCCAGCTCCGAGCTCTCCCTCGACAGGTGGCTCTCGTAGTCGGCACCTTCAAAATAGATGGTCCACGTCCCCGGGGAGCGCGCGTGGGGCACCAGCCTGCAGAAGCCTGGGGAGAGAGGGCGCCGTCAGTGTCCCTGCCGGCCCCCCGCCTCCAGCAAGGGGCACACGCGCTCGAGCGCTTGCGCTTTGACACCCCGAGCTTCTCCAGCCCCCGAAGAGCCCCCTGGACATGCAGTGCTGTCCCTGATCGTGGTGCAGCGACTTCCCAGACCAGGCGAGAGGGTGAAGCGGCTTCCCGTCTAACGTGTCCCAGGGAGCATTTTCTTGTTCCCCTTATTTTGCCATTTATGTTTCCCACCACTGCTCCCCATCCCTGCCCCTTCTGCCCCCCAACCCGGGCCTCGGGACGTCCTGTGGTCTCTGAAGTGTCTTACGTCCTCGCGTGGCTGGCTGGGCGGCGTTTGCTCCTGTTGCTCTGACTTACTGCGCCGTGCACGGCTCTCCCAGACCCCTCCTTCGTGTTGAAAACAGCTGCATCTCACGCACGGCATTCTCTTCCCTGGCTGCGTGGTGCGCCACGGCACGCAGCTACCCCACTCCTGCTCCAAGTGTCCACTGATGCTGCTGGCCCGTCCTGGCTGTCGTCCACACTGCTGCCCTGACCACTGTGGGGCTGAGGGATTTGTAAATTGATGGTTCCATAGTCTTTGGCTCTCCGCCCGGGGGCGGGGGTGCCGGTTGTGCCGTATTTCCATTTTTAGCTTTTTAAGGTAAATCCGGGTCATTTCCCACAACGATTTCTCCCGTTCCGTTCACAGCCACGCTGCGGCAGGCGCCCTTCCTCCACACCCTTCCCAGCACGGCTTGCTGGGGGCCTTGGTTCTCTCGGAGCGAGGTGGGGTCCGCGCCTCTTCCCGGAGGGGCGATGAGCATTCACGTCTCTCGGCCTCTGGGTCTCCTCTTGGGGAAGGATCTGTCCATTTCTGCTGCGTATCTGCTAACCGGGCAGTCTTTTCTTACTGCTGACCTGCATGAGTTTTTAAAATAGATCTTGAATATTGATCCCTTTATCAGCTGCATGTCGCATGAACGTGCTTCCCGTCCAACGGGGTGTTCACTGGATCATTCTGTCTTTTCTTTCCCTGCAGAGGAGCCTCCACCGCACAGCCGCTGAACGGTTTACATGCAGCTCCCCTCACAGGGCCTGAGTCGCCCAGGACAGCCCCTGCGGCCCCATGCGGCGCGCCGCCGTGGCCCGTGGTGTTGCTGCCCTCGGTCTCCCCTCTACGTCCCTCGTCCCCCTGGAGTGTCCTCATGCGTGGTGTCGGCGAGCAACGCATGTTTCTTTCCTCACATGTGGCTCTCGCCCATCTGATGGCCTGGGGTGTCGCACCCCAGGCGCGAGGGGGGTATATGCAGGGTTATTTCTGGGCTGCTGATCCTCTTCCAGGCCACTGGGCCGGGCACCCGCTGCTGCGCCAACAGCCCGCGTCACGGGCGAGCCTGGCGTCAGGCAACGGGCACCTTCGCTCCTCTCCTGGTCTTCTGGAGCTGCTTTTCAGTTCGAAGTTTTTGTGTCTCCTCATAAACGTCAGCACTTTGTTCCGTTTCCGTAGCAGCGCGGCTGGCCTCTGGCGGGGAGCAGGGGCAACGCGCCACTCAGGCGCCCCCACGGGCCTGGGCAGTGCTGCCAGCACCGAGCTGGTGTGGCCTTCGCTGGGGTGTGTGTCCTCCTTTGGGAGGCTGACGCTGAGGTATTTAGCCCTTTTGGAGCAACTCTCCATGGAGCTTTCTCCTTAACTTCTTCCGCTTCTTGGGGGCTGTTGTGTATAAAAGGTCACAGTCTCGGGTGCTGGCTCTGTGCCCGACCCCTCTGCTGCGTCCCCACCGGCGTCAGCAGGGTCGAAGGACCCTCTGCAGACACCGATGGCCCCGCGTCCGTGTGGCGTCCACCCCCCCTATTTCCTGTGTTTGTCTGAAGGTTCCGGCTGAGACGTCCAGCGCCAGGTGAAACGGAAGTCACCATGGGCACCCTGGTCTTGTTCCCGATCCCCAGGGGAAAACACCCCACTCTCCTGCTGGGTGTGGCACTGGCCGCTGCTCCGTGGCTATGACCTTTACTGCACCGAGCCAGGCTCCCTGCTGCTCCCACCCTGTTTCGAGGTCTCGTCGCCATCAAGGGTGCGGGACCTTATGGAACACTTTCCGTGCACCTATCGCGAGAAGACGTCTCATCCTCGCTGTCTTCGCGCCATGCGTCACTTTTCTATCATGCGCCTGAACAGGAGCCTGCAAGGTCTGGGAGAAACTACATCTGGAGACCTTACTGTGCTCAGCCTGGCAGAGGCCGGTCCCGCGCCCCGAGCCAGCAGCTGTGCGCATGACAAAGGACACCCGAGCAGGGCTGTCCGTCCCAGCGCTGACCCCGCGCGTTGGAAGGAGCCCAGCAGGCGGCAGCCCCGTGAAGGTGGGGAGGCCCAGCTGAGTCGCCCCAGGGCGCGGAGGCCCAGCCCGGAAGCCGGAGGGCACCGAGCCCACGGTGCGTGCACTGGCAAGAGGGCAGGAAGGTCCAGCCCAGCCTGAGCAGAGGTCCTTCCTGGTGGGCTCTCCCCTCGGCCCTGTGCGTGGGTGGGGTGTCTGCAGGAAACGTGGACAGCACATCTAGGGGGTGTGAGGGCTGGTGTGCATGGTGGACACACGCCAGGCGTGCCAGGCCAGCGCAGCCGGGCCCACTCTGGGGTTGGGGGCTCCTGACAGAGCCTGGTCAGGGGCCGCCCCAGGCTCTGTCCTGTCCTGGGCCACAGCAGAGCCGGCCCCGCCCCACCACCTTGCCCCCGAGGCCCAGGCCGGAGGCAGGTGCAGAGCCCCTGCCTTCTGAGTAAGGAGCTGCTTCGGAACGTGAGCCGAAGGGCCAAAGGGCTGGAGGATCGCGATGGAGGGAGTGTGGTCAGTGAGACGCGCGAAGGCTCTGGGCTTAATCCTGCCTTTCCAGTGCTGGCGCTTGCCAAAGTGGGTCCTGCACCCCTTGAAGTTCCCCAGCGAGAAGCGGGAAAGACACAGAGCTGTCCAGTACTCAGGCCTTTTGTCACGACACATGCCCAGGGAAAGGCAAAGGAGGTCAGGAGACGAGGGCAGCTGAGCATGCCAGCGGCCATCACACGAGTCACCGCTGTCAGGGGACCGCCACCCCTGTGCAGCCCACACAAGCCTGGTGCAGAGAGGGCCGGGGCGGTGCCTGTCCCCCCAGGGCTACACTGTCCTGCTGACCACTCAGCCCACACTGCGCGCTGTTGCAGAAGGGCCCCCACTGGCCGGGCCAGCCACCACCCCTGCCCGCACCCTTGGGGTCCCAAAACATGCCCAGCGCACAGCCCGTCCAGACGGCAGTCCCGACAGGCCTTTACCTCTCTGGCACAGAGGATCTAGGAATTCGTGCAGACCGCTGGGGACGTTCCTGACCACGTCACAGGAGTAGCCGTCCTCCGGCAGCAGGAAGGGCAGCTGCAGGTCGGGGTCCTCCTCCAGCTGCACCTCCCGGCCGTCGCTGCGCGCCAGTTCGTCTGCCGTGTTCTCGGCCACGCCCACCACGCTCTCGATCAGGTCCTGGGGGCAGAGGCCACGTGAGCGGGCGGTGGAGGGGCGAGGTGGCTGTGACGCGGGACGTCGGGCACGAGGCGCCTCCACGCGCGACCCAGGCCCCGCACCCACTCCGCATGCACCTCGCCACAGTGCCGGGGCCGCCGCAAGAAAGTGCTTCTCTCCCTTTCGATAGCAGGATTTTGCCCTTGCACAGCTGTTTAGCTCCCAGGGGCTAAGAACTGCATGTTTGTAGCACCCGGAGGGAAGCTGACAGGACACTGAAGGTGACCAAGGCAGCACGGAAGCGCCCACGCTCCCAGGCCACGCAGGTTTTCCTTCCAAGTCACAGGTGACGCCGCCGTAAAGCCCTTTCCTCACCGCACCACGCCACACCATGAGCTGCCGGCTCCCCACCGCACTGCTCAGGCCCGGGCGCCCCCTCCTCCCATGGGCTCCACCCGCGTCCCGCTCCTGCCCCGTGGCTGGGCACACTGCAGACGGTGGCCCTCCCACCCCTGGCAGCGCAGCACACCCCAAGGACAGACATGGCCAACGTGGGCCCCAGGGGCCAGGGCCTTTGCTCTCGCCTTGCGCTGGCACGAAGCCACCCTGGGGCCGACCCTCCAGCCCACCCCGACGTGACCTGCCCCCCAAGGCTGCATCAAGGCCATGCCTTGGCATGCTATGCACCTATGGCCACACACTCAAGGGTGCAGTGGCCTCGGGCCACACCCCAGGCCCATGGACACCGTGCGCCTGCACCCAGCCCCAGGCCGCACCGCACACGGGGCTCCCGGGCAGCATCCCAGCAGCCCCCGCCAAGGACACCCCCAGCACCCATGCCCTGGACTAACCCCGTGAATGTGGAATGCTCTGCCCCGGAATGTGGGGCTTCTGCCCCGCCCTGGCATCAGGTGCTCTCCTGAGGCAGCCATGGCGCCCTCGGGCCGGGCCGAGGGCGGCAGCACCCACTCACCGCAGGGATGAAGGGCTCATCGGGGGCGCAGTGGTAGTTCTGCAGCAAGGCCTGCAGCTGCAGCGAGTTCAGCTTGAAGCAGGTGCTGCTGATGTTCGGGACGTCGCCCGGCGCGTACTTGTCCATGGTGAGCAGAGTGGTCGCCTGTTCAAGAGCGAGCGACACGCAGCCTCGTGGCCTGAGGGACTTAGTGACCAGTCCCTGCCGTGGGGTGCCCTGAGCCAGGAATCTGCCAGCTCAATCGCGGGAGCCAGGCACTGTCAAGGGCTCGGCTCCCCCAACTGCCGATGTTGCCCGCAGCCCAGTGCCCGGAGGCCTCTCACACATGTGGAGTGAGAACCTCCCACTCGTGGTCACGAAGTCGTTTAAGGCTGGGGGGTGTCTGGGCAGAGCCGCCCTGCAGGGCCCGTCCACGGCAGCAGCCACGCAGTGCAGCAGCGGCTCAGCACACCGCCCCGAGGCCAGCTTCCGGGACCTCTGACCTCTTAGCATCTCAGACACCCCTGAGCACGGGACGCCAGACCAGCAGGCTCCTGGCCCTCGCCCTCTGTCCTGGCCCCGAGTCCTCTGGGTTAGCTTGCCCCCGTCTCTCTCTCTCTTTCTCTCTCTCGTCTCTACATTTTCGGGGTAACTTTTCTGTATCCACTGCAGCGTCTGCTTTGTGGTTGCTGGCTCTGTGATGCGTTAACACACATTGAAGAAACGTACCATGGTGTCTGAGTGTTAACTGTGAAGCATTTACAACGACAAAACAAATGCATCTGTCAATTTTAAAACCCACTGTTGTTGTTTTACTGCCCGTGCTATTTACTGACATCCAGACACTCCTACAATCGCATCTTATGGCGCCGGTCTGAAGAGCGCGTTATTACCCATCCGCAAACCGCGATTTGAGCTTCCAGAGGGAGCTGTCTGAAAGGGGCCTAACGGCACTCAGGAAACAGGGCTGCTAAGGAATGTGGGTTCTGCAGGTCGCCATCACCCGTGACGGGCAGTGTGTCCCCCAGTGCCTACGTTGAAGCCCTAGCCCCCGCAGATTGTGGCCTTACTTGACAGAAGTGGGGGCTAAAAAGAGGCCAGCAGGCCCAGTGGGATGCTCCATGAGAAGGTGGACATGTGGGGTGCCCTGTGAGGCCAGAGCAGAGATCGGGGTGCTGTGTGCCGAGCCCCAGGAGGCTGGCGAGGGCCAGCAGAGCACCCAAGCTGGACAGGGCACCCAAGCGTGGCGGCCCCAGGAGAGAACACACCTCTTCTGCTCGGCGCAGCCCCCAGCGGGGACCTGCTTCACGCTCACCCCCGAGCCCCGCCCGCGAGCACACTGGACTCCGGCAGGCCCGGCAGTGACCCACCTGCACGATGCGGCTGAGGTGGCAGTCGGCCGCCAGCTCCAGGCCCTGCTTCTCTGCCCAGGCCTCCACGCGGCCCAGCTGTTGGCGGATGATGGCCCCCCAGTAGTGGGAGCACAGCCCCGACTCGGGCTCGGTGACCAGCCGGTTGAACAGCCACATGTTGATGAAGTGGAAGAGCTGGGAGAACAGCTGGATGGTCAGTGCCGCGTTGACTCGGCAGCGCCGCAGCAGCGACATGGCGCCCGTGAGCGTGTGCAGGACGTCATCTGCGGGACACAAGGCGCTCAGCGGGGGGGGCACTGTCACGGCCTCGCGCAGGGGAGCCCGGGCAGCAGCCCACTGAACCCAGGCCACAGCGAGACATGCCCAAGCGCTCGTCTCAGACTGTTCTTCTGCACGAGACACGGGGCTCAGACAGACTGACCGCAGAGAGAAGACAAAGTCCAGCAGGACGGCTGCATTGCGTCAAGTGCCCCCCCAACAGTCAGATGCGGGGCGGGAGGGGAGACGCGGGCATCCTAACCGATTTTTGGCCTCTGCAGGCTGTTCTCTTCAGGGTCGTCCAGGAAGGCCGGCATGTAGTTGCTCAGTTCCGTCTGCAGACAGTGGACCAGGAATCTGAGAACATGGAGACAACACAGATTATCTCAGCGTGACGGGGCTGTGACCAGATGTGGCCCCACATGACGTAAAACAATCTGGCTGTTTAGGAATATTCTCCTTTTAAGAAACGTGATGGCGGGCCTCCCCTGGGGGCGCAGCGGTTGAGCTCCGGGTTGCGAAGCTGCCCGCAGCCTCTGCAGCGCCGGTTCCATCCCCAGCCTCCGGGCGAGGGTCCCCCATGGCGCGCAGACCTCTCCTGCCGCCCGCTGCTCCCCTCAGCAGTGTGCTTCGGTCCTTCTGCCTGTTTTGTTCCCCGCTCTGGCTCTGGTGGATCCTCTCACCCTCCCGCGCTTCTGACTGTGCCCAGTGCTTGTATAAATGAATAAATAAATCTTTAAAAAACGTGACTGCATCAACCTCTGAATCCCTGAAATAGACTCATGTCACCGAGCTCAATGGATTAAATCAGCATTTTGCACGCTCCTGGACGCTCCTCTTCAGCGAGGCCACGTAAAGCATTCACAGTTCGCTTTACAGACCCCATCAGAACACGACTCCATCCTGCACGGACCAGGGCACCCCGAAGCAGGCTCCTTACTTGAAGGCCACCTGCACCAGGTGCGCCAGGACGTCCTGGGCATCCAGAGTGATGCGGCTCAGGTCGCGGTCCTGCTTGATGAAGTTGAGGAGCTCCGACGCGTTCGCCATCCAGAAGGCCAGTGCCCCCGCGATGTTCTTCTGTTTCTGTAGACAGAGCGCCCCGCCGTGAGCAGCTCAGGACACACGGATGCCACGCAAGTGAGAAGGCGCGTCTGGAAAGCTGCTGAGGACAGACCAGCACCTTCCCGCGTCCCCAGGCGGCCACCACAGATACCAGATACTCGCAGAGGGGTTTGGGAGCCCGGTCGCGGTGGCCATTAGGTCACCGCTGCCCACTGGGGCCCGTGGGCAGAGACGCACGGCTCTAACTGCCAGCGTGGCTGGAGTCGGTGGGAAGCGACATGCGCAGACCGCCGCCGCGTGGGCACGCGCTATCTGGTAGTCTGTGACGGGCACGCATGTGCCCGTGGGACCCGCCACCGCCCCGATTCTGGCAGTTGCTGGCCGGACGCCTAACAACTCAGCATCGGGCGCTCATCTGCCCCCACCCTGTCGCCCAGCCACGGGTCAGGCAGGGCGACCCCAGATGAGATCCAGAGAGTGGGAGCCGAGGATAAACAATCAAGAGAAGAAACAGAACTTTTGTCATTTCATATCCACACTGAAGTGCGTTAAGCAGAGTTATGAAATGCTGAGAAGGCTGCAGTCAGAGGTTAGGTGCTGCATGTCGAGGTGCCGAATGAGTGTTATGGCTGCTCGGTCAGTGGCCGGGTGCTGTGTGGACATGGAAGCAGCATGAGAAACTTGGCCAAGCCAGCGCAGCCGGGGCAGCCCCAGCAGCACGCCTACCTGGTCACCCTGGTCTAGCTCCTGGAGAAAAACAGACGAAGGGGAATCAAGCAGAACGAGAGAAAGACACTTGTAAACAATCATGACAGTCAGAAAAAAAAATCACAACACTGACATGCACGCACAACGTAAGGCCGCGGGGTCACGCGGCCCCCAGGCTCCCTTCCGCAGCGGCTCTGAGCAGCTTGGGAGGCGACACCAGGGCTGGATCTACGTTCCCAACCCCGCGGCGACCGGTGGCCCAGGCTCCTCTACAAAGGCGGGAGGACGGACACCCGCACACCCAGACCATGCGGGACGGCGGGGGGCCTCTGTCGCCTGGACCAGAGCGTGTCCGGTCTCCTCACGTCCCCTCCCCGGGCTCGTTCACGGGGGTGAAGGACTCAGGAAAGACCATCAGACCCAGTGAAAACTCCAAAATGTGCTTCTGTCACAGCGTCCCCTGGCCCTGAGCGTGACACTGCTTGGTGGAAACCAGATCTTCACCAGCGCGGCGCCCACAGCGGCCTCCACCACAGTTCTGCTGTGGGGCGCGGGGTCCCGCCAACCACACGCTGACCCCGCATCTGAGGCGGAAAGAACAGCTCTGCTGACAGGGACGCCACAGACTCGCTTGCGCTCAGCGAGCAAGAGCCCATCAAAACAGCCTGAGGACAGGCAGGTTCATCACGAGAAAGTGGCTCCACAGATCCACACGCAAAGACAAGACAAAGGTTCTGAGCGAAGAAACCCACGTCCGTCTGTGAAGAAGTCAATGTAACAAAACGCGTCTCAATGAAACGACCTTCCTTCTCCAGCTCCTCAGCTGGGCGAAGCCAGCCCGGCCCCCCGAACCCGCGCCAGCCCCGGCACAGAGCAAACACCCCGCAGCCCCTGGGAGGGCAGCCCGCCAAGGCTTGCTGAGCACCAGCCCGTCCGCCTGGCGGGCCCGACGGGGAGGACGCGGCGTGTTCGGCCCAGTCAGCCAACGTCCCAAGCCCGGCCGCCTTTGTGGAAACAGCACTGACAAGCGACGGGAAGAATTTTTAAAAATCTGCTCATTTACTTTAAGGACCAGAAGATGACACCGTGCAGCGTCTGTCACTCTGGGAAGAGGCTACGTCACTCCCGGTAACAGAAGTGCTCAGAGGAAGGCGCTCCGCCAGAGGACACCCCGCCTGGAGCCGCCCCGGAGGGGGCACGCCACTCACCACCAGGCCCGCGTGGGCCGGGCGCAAGGCAGCCAGCGCTCCAGCAGCTGTCACGGCCTGGGAAGGGGCGCCCCTGCTGCGGGTGCCGGGGAGGAGCTGCCTGGCAGGCGCGCGCTTCTCTCTGGAGCAGCGCAGCCGTGCGGGGCGCAGCCGTGTGAGGGCACGTGGCCCTGGAACGGACCTTCACAACGGGGGCTCGTGGTGGGCACACTTCATTCCCACACATTATTTTTCACACCATCTCACCACCTTCTCGGAACTACTACAACGTTAAGGGCTCTGTCCTGACCAGCGCATCAGCTTGTGCAGTCCGTTCCCTTACGCTGTAAGTTACAGGAAAAACACCCGAAAGCGTGGAGTTTCTTTCCAGCTTTTGAACTTTACAGCTGTCGGCGCTGTTAGCACGACCTTCACAGTAGCGAATTACCTGGATGACGCCTTCCATCATGCTCACCATCTTGTTGACGATGGCGACCACCTTGTGGGTGCGCTCCGGGGGGCTGGCGTCCGGCCTGTACTGGCTCGACAGCACGTGCCGGCAGGCCATGTACAGCACGTACGTGGGCGACAGCTTGAAGTGGACCGTGGAGCTGTTGGTGTAGTTGATGATGGCAGACAGAAACGAATCTTCAGCTGTGAAGGATTTCAAAAAAGAACAGAAACAATCACGAAAGTCAAATGGAGGAAAATGGAACGAGAGATAACTTACTAACGATGGAAAGTGAAATTACTTACAACTCTCCCTGAATTCAATGCTTGCAGGCAGAATCAGCTCCGGCCCAGGGGCATCCTGAGTCCTGCAAGAAGCAAGACGACCAGCTCGTAAAAGCAGGTGAGCCGGTCATCACTGATGCGCCGCAGCTCGTGCCCAAGTTTCTTCCTGGGCGGTTTCCCGACCCTGTCTGCCGGCCGCTGCTGCAGCCAGGACACCCCAGGAGAGCGCCTCGAGCCCGACCAGGCCCGGCGTGGCGGACGGTATCTGCTCCCCCGAGAGCAGACCTGACGACGCGCCTCGTCAGGGACCAGGACGCAGCACACCTGCCATCGCGGGGCTCGGGCAGCAGCGAGGACATTGCAGTGAAGCAAGGAGGACCAGGACATGTCAGCCTGCACAGCGGAGAGACGGCAAAGAGCCAGACCCCGCCTTTCTCGCCAGAGGAAGAGCTGGCCGCGGTGGTCCCCTCCGGCCGGCAGCATGACGCCTTCCTGCCACCTGTCCACGCTCAGGGCTCCCGAAAGCCACGTGGGCCCGCACCTTCCAGCATGCTGCCCGACACGACCTCAACAAGCGACCACCCACAGCCTGGACACAGAGCAGCTGCCATCGGGGGCGCCTAAGCAGCAGCACCGTGCTGACCTATGCCCGGTAGTCAGGGTCCAAGTCATGCCAAAATCAGGCGTTATCTACCTGCCACAGAAAGGTCACTTACCGCATCTAATGAAACTCACACAGCAAACACAAATCCTGGAATGTAACCAAGAGCCCCACACAAACAATAAATAAATAACCCCCCCCAAAAAAGGCCCAGGATTCCCACATGAATCTAACTACCTCCGTGGAAAGGCTCCTACTAAACGCCGCGGCGTGGAACGCCCTCTGCGGGACGTCGAGCAGCGATGCCCTCCTCCCGGGCCTGCCCGAGAGGCCTGTCCTGGCTGGCCACCTGCCTCAGTGGCCAGATCTGGACGGGGGCAGTGAGGTGGGCCTCATGGACAGTCTGCAATAGGCCTCGGAAGAAGCCGGCCCCTCTGGGCCAGCAGCAGAGGGCGCCTCACCGTCCACCAGACACGGCATCTGTGGTCACCGGTCACCGGCAGCAAGGCAGGGGGCAAGATGGCGTATTTAGGACGCGCTGCTCAGCAGACCTAAGCTGCGATGCAGGCCTGAGCCCGCCTGTGGGGCCTGGAGTGAGGCCGCAGAGACGCGACTGGACCCTGTTTCTCTGGCCGGGCCTCGGCCCCACACCACGGGTGCTGAAGCACCTGAGTTTGCGCCAGAGCGGGTAGAGGGGCAGTGCCACCTGAGCAGAGAAATGACCCTGTGCCGGCCCAGCAGGAGCCGCCTCGAGTCTGCACAGGGCGGCAGCGGCGGGTGGCCAAGGGGCCCGCCGGGAGCACAGGGAGGCCAAGGCACAGCTGCGGGGGCAGCTCTCTCCCGAACCCCAACACGACCAGGACGTGCGCGTAAGCACCGCCAGATTCCGCAGCATCAGCCGCCCCAGACGCGCGGCCAGCCCCACCCAGCGCCACGGCCCACCTGCTCTCCTGCCGCCGGCGCTCCTGCTGCTCCACGCGGACCATGGGCTTCACCATCCCCCGCTCGGCCGTGCTGCAGGCGGAGGATGCGCGGTCGCCATCCAGCCGCGTGGTGCTCTGACCGGAGAGAAGGCAGGTCAGGTGACAGAGGCGGGGCGGTGCGCACGGAGGAGCAGGATACAGGGCGACGGTGCACAGTGCAGCGAGGACCCGAGACCCCCTCGACACCCCGCCCGCCCTCAGCTGGACGCTGGCCCCAGGCGGGCAGAGGCGGCTCACAGGGCTCTCCTCCGGCCTGGCCGAGGGCGTCGCGACACCTGGGGAGCACTCTGTGTCCTCCACCGACACGGGCAGATGCGCACGGCGGTGACGGCGCCCACTCCGCCAACTCGCGCAGGCAGTAGCCTGGACGGTGCCCGCCGATGCACGCGAAGGCCTCCAGGAGGGCACCAAGAGCAGCGTCTCGCTCCACCTGGGCACCGAGTGTGGTCAGTGTACCCGTGTCCCCCCAGAGGCCACGCTGGGCTGCATGAACCTGTCCAGATTTTTACATTTTCTGTGAATGTATCTGAGCCACCCTTGTAAAATGAGCCTTTTGTGTGTCTTAAACATCCTACCATCGTCCTCCCGTTACAGATGCGGGACATTTGTGTGGCATTGCCGGTCTCACCGGGCCAGCGTGTGCCCTAAAGTGCCCGTTGGCACAGAGGCCACAACTGCCAGTCTGTGCATGGCCGGCCCAGGACAGCGAGGGCTGAGGGGCACCGACCCCGCGCGGCCATAGCCCCCATGAGCATCACCTCCACCCAAGGCGCAGCCCCCAGGCCGGCCGGCTAGTCACACGCAGCGGCTGCGTCCTCGCTGCGGAGACTGCCACACACGCATGGCCTCAGCGAGCCAGTGGACCGACACCCACGGGGCTTCAGAAGGGCCCACCGCCGCGTCCCGAACAGCAAACACAGACCGCGGACCAGCGTGTTGGTTCTCTCCTCAGCGTACTGAGCATTCCAGGTCAACGACCTGTTTTCTCAAGAAACTAAACTCTCTGACTCAGTGGTGTTTAGCTGTGGGGGCCCTTCCGAGGCCCCCGAGGCAGCAGGCACCTGCCTCCTCCCTCAACACACGGCCCAGTGCCGGGAGGGCTCACGCAGGAGCGCAGCGGGGCTGTGGGTGCCCACCGGCCGCCAAGTGCACAGGGTCACAGCCGAGGCATGAGCGCGCTAGGGAGACGCCGAGCTGGAGCCCGACCAGGGCCGGCCTGCACGTGGGCACCAGAAGCCCGTGGACGGGCACGGCCAGTGAGGCCGCACAGGGCAGGCTGAGAGGGACCCGCGCGGGAGCCGTGCAGCAGGCGGACGATGGGGACGCCGGGAGGCCGGGCCCCAGCGGAGCAGAGCGCGCCGCCTGCACGCATCAGGGAGGCTGCGGGGGAGGGAAGGCGGGAGAGGCCCACAACGCAGGCGGCCCCCGCCCCGGGCACACAGGCTGCCGGCAGGCCCGCACGACCTCAGGGCAGGGGCGGCCAGGGCCCCAGGCTGGAGGCAGAGGGGAGAGCCCTCTGAGGCCGAGTCCGTGCTGCCCCTCCGAGGCGGGAGGGCGGGTGTGGTGCCCGCTCCATGCTCAAGGCGAGGAGCCCGCCAAGTCCACGGTTGCTGAGGGGCCCCCGGGCTCTCCGAGGGGCAGCGGGTGGCGGCAGGGAGGTGAGGGAGGGAGCCGTGGGACACAGCCCCGGTGACCACCATCGGGGCGGCCAGTCAGCTGCCCGGAGCCTGACCGCCCACATGGCCTGACAGAGGACGGGGCCGTGCAGCCACAAGGCCTGCCGCCAGCACGGGCCCCGGGAGGAGGGCGAGGGCGGGTGCGCGTCCAAGCCCAGGCCCCGCCCAGGAGACTGGCTGCCCATGCGCCACGGCGGAGGCCGCCCGTCCACACCGCGAACCCCACCCACCTTGCTGGTCGGCAGCGACGTCCCACCGTGAGCGTCCCCGCCCAAGGCGAAGGTCGTCTCCTGAAGGGCCCTGCGGGGCAGAGAGCACAGGCGTGAGCGGGCCCGGGCAGCGGGCGAGGACCCCGGGAGGTCCCCAGGCGGCGTCTCCGCAGCGTGCGCGCTGGAGGCTGACACGCTCGTAAGTTCATGAGCTTCTCCCGCTGGGGGAGACGCCGCGTCCTCAGGGTCCCGTGGCTTTGGGAGGACGGACAGAAGGGAGGAGCAGGGAGGCAGCGCTTTCCAGCGGGGCTGGCGCCCGAGCAGGCCCCTCACTGGCCCCACGGCGCGTGGGCCTTCGCAGGAGCCACGAAAGCGCCGGCCGTAAGCCAGGGTAGAGGTAGCTGGGGACTGGGCCGACGTCAAGAGCTTCTGTCTCTTCGACCCCCTGACCCGCCCAAGTCAACAAGAACCAGAACCGCAAGCCCCACTTTGAAATTTTAAAACTTCAAACAAAGCTAAACTTAGCCCCCAGCCCCGGCCCCCCCAAACCAGGCTACACTAGGCATCCCCGCCAGGCCCCAGCGCGGCGCGGGCAGCTACCCAGGCTGGGGCCGGGAGCCCCTCGGTGGCAGGTCCGTCTCCCCGGGCCGCTTGGCCAGCGCGTGGTCCTGGCCAGGGTCCACGAACTTGAACACGTGGGTGGCCCCGAACTGCACGGTGACCCCGCTCTGCAGCATGCTGGTCTCGGAGATGCGCTGCCCGGCCACGTAGGTCTCCGCCTCCACGCTGCGCGGCGTGACGGTGACGACGCCGTCCATGTTGGTGAGGTCGCAGTGATGGGGCTGAATCCCTGCTCCGAACAGCTGAGAAGGAGCCTCCGTCACAACCCACGCAGACTTAGGGAGCCTGCAAGCCCCGTGACGAGGGGAAGCCTGCCCCCGGGCGCCTCCCTCCAGGGGCCCCCTGACACCCTGCAGACGAGCCAGCGCCGCGATCCGGACGCGGCTCTCGCCCAGCGTGGCCCAGCCGTGCCGACAGGCGCCCACTCTCTGCCTCAGCGGGGGAGGAGGGAGGCAGGGGGAGGACGCGCAGAAGCTGCCCCGTCACTGCAGAGGGAGGGGCCGCTGCGCCCACGGGCACGAGGGGCGCGCCGGCCATCTGCACCCGGAGACGTGCCAGCCCTGCTCCTGGGCCAGGCCCCCGGCAGTGCCCACCTCCAGGGAAAGCGCCTGGTCCCAGGAAGACGTCGCCAGAGCCCACACGTCTGGGGTAGGCACAGACACCCCCCGCCCAGGGAGAGCGCGGCCCAGGCCCCGGAGCCCAGGCCCGGAGGAGCCGCCCCCGCGAGCTCCCGGGCAGGCGGGCCGCACCTGGATGGAGCTGTCGTCCAGCTTCTCCGTCCCCACCTCGGTGACGCTGCGCTGCAGGCGGTACAGCTTCGGCCTGTCCCTGGAGTCGGAGCCGTCTGTGGGGAGAGCGCAGGCCCCGTCACGCGGCTGCCGCGCAGAACAGGGAGCGGCCTCGGAAAGGACGCGCCGTTCCCCGTTCTCCGCGTTTCCGCACAACTTCCCGAGTTTCCGTCACACAACTCCGCTGGGCAGAGAAAATTCAGTGGGAAACGAACACGCCGGCCTTCACTTAATGCCCTCAGAGGCGGGGACCACCCTCCCTCCCGACATCCCCCATCGCCGACGCCCTCCGCGGCACAGTCCTGCCAGCAAAGACCGCGGGGCACGCAGGGCCGCGGACAGCCTGGCACGGGGGGCGCACAGCCCTGCCGCTCACCCCACGTCTCCTGGGCCAGACACCAGCTGAGGCCCACGTGAGCCTCGTGTCCGCTGTCGCCGGGAGACGGAGACGCCGGCACAAGGGCCCCGCTGGGGCAGGGAGCTGGGGCGAGGGCAGCGGGGAAGCTGCCTTGGGGTCGGGCCACGCCTCTCTGAACGGGGACACCGCGGCTTCCCTGCGCACGCTCCGAGGTGGGGACGTGCGGGGTCGGCGCCTCCCGCTGGCCCCAGCGCTGCGGGCACACAGGAACGGCCTCCCCGGCAGGACGCCCCAGGCTGGCCCGGCCTGGGCCAAAGCCTCTTCCCAGGGTCCAGCGGACGCCCTGACCTACCTCGCCGGCACCATGACAAGCTTCAGCGCCTGCCAGTTGGAGGCTCCAGTCCCCAGGACCAGGAGCATAAGCCGGGGCCCAAGCTGGCGTCTGGCGCGCAGGGTGCGAGGCTGCTGCCTCCGCCTCCCTCAGGAGAGGCCCGGCGACAGGCGCGCGCCGAGCCGCTGCAGCCGACTTCGGAGTGACAGCCGGAGCCACGCCTCGGTCTGCCCTGGAGAATTTCCACACGGGTGGAGGCAAGAGGAGGCGGACGTCCTCTTGCCTGTGCTGCTCCCGTCTGCCAGGACCGTCCCTCCCTGTGCGGTGGCAGCAGAAGCCTGCTGAGCGCCCACGCCACGGCCTGACCTAAAATGAGTGCCGGAAGGGCCTGGGCTTTCCCTGGACACGGGCAGCCGCTTTCCAGGCTACGAGCCCAGCCTCGAGGAGGCCTGCGAGGGCGTGGACCTGAGGCGGCCCGCACGGCTCGGCGTGCGCCTCCCGTCTCCACGAGCCACTCGGCAGCGTTTCCACTCCTGGCCCCCGGCTCGAGCCACTCGGCGGCCAGGCTTTCAGAGCCCCCTGGCCTCAGGCGGCGCCGGCCCGCAGCTGCTGCCCACAGAGGCCGCGTGTTGGCAGAAGCGACTGTCGGCGGAAAATCAAGGCAACAGCATGAAGGGCCATCTGGCCACACGGACGCACCCACAACAGCCACGTGAGCGAGCCGCAAGGAAGCAGCAGCAGCGACTGGTGGTCAGGACGAGTCCCCGCGGCGGCCGGGAGAGCACAGGCCGCGATCATGGGGACGGGGGAGCCACACCGGCGCGCTCCGCTGCGACTGCTCCGGAAGGCGCTCTCCGGGGGACGTGGCACCGTGACCGTCCTGTCCACGACCGCGAGGGCGGCGGGAGACAGGCTCGGGGCCGGCGGCGGCACGGGCCGGCAGGACCGCGGTGAGCGCCGCCTCGGGCTGGAGGGAGGCAGAGGCGGTGCGGGGACGCTCCACCTGCCGCCAGCCCTCCAGGCCCACCCCCGGGCCTCGCTACCGGCTGAGGGTCCTTGCGGGCAGCAACGGCAGACACAACTGGCCCCTGAAGCGTCCCCACTCTCCCCCCGTGCCCGACGGGCACCCTCCAGGGCAGCGCTGCACGAGGGCCCGCACGCTCTCTCGGGGCCGGCCCCAGGCAGCGGGCGCAGCTTCCAGAACCCGCCTGCACGGGCACACGGAGCCAGCAGGTTCGCTCATCCTTGGATTTTATCATTTTGCCTCAAAAACACACGATCTCTTCTTGCGTTGCAGACTCGGCGGGCACAAGGTGGGCACAGCAGCTGCCCGTTCCTCGCGCCTGCCTGGCTCTGCCACCCCCAGAGCCGAGCCCTCGGCTGTGCCCACACCGTCTTCCTCTCCACACCGGCGTCGGGGGCCGTCCTGGTGCCGAGGGGATGCCCGTGCCCGTGAGGTGCGTGTTGGCCAGCGCACACACGCTCAGGGCACAGAGCGCGACCTCCTGGCACGCGCACCTCGCCTGTCTGCCGTCCTGCTCTGGTTGGGGTGAAGCGCGTTCTCCTCCTCTCTGCAGACACTCCCGGCCCGTCTGGCCTCTGCCGGCATCTGCGCGGCCAAGCCCGCCTGTGCCCTCCCTGGGCCATCCCCCAGGTGCCCCCGAGGTCAGCCTGACCGTGGTGCCCAGGGCCCCTTTTGGCCCCACGCCTGAGGAGGGGGAGCAGGCTTGCGGTCAGAGCACCCCCAGGCCGCCCGTCCAGGGAGCCCCGTGAAGGCGACTCGCCAACGTTCCCAGAGCTCACGGAGGCCAATCTGCACGGCGTCGCCGCTGCGGCGCGGGAAGGACGGGGCGTCGGCTGCCCGGGGGCCGAGGACATGGGCAGCAGCGGGTGGCTGCCGGGGGCCGTCTCTGCAGGCCGGGGAGCGGACGCGCCTGCCCCCTCACTCACACCCGCAATTAGCCAACGCGTGGGCGCACCGTGAGCGTCCCCCCGGGAAAACAACAACACACACGCGCCTCGGGCTCTGCGGGTAGAAAGGGCAGAGCGAACAGCAGCGTCACGTGTTTATAGTTTTAAGACCAGAGCTCTAGTTTGGCCAAAATCCCCCGAAAATCCCAAGTGCAGAGAAAGCCGCACCAACGCGAAACGCTGAGAGGCAACTAGACTTCGCGGGGCACAGCAGGCCTGTCGTCACGCCTGACACGTGAAAACCATGTGCAACACAGGAAGGGGCTTCCCTCCCCGGCGGCTCAGGGCTGAAGCACGGCGCTCGGAAGCCGCCCGCGGCCTCTGCAGCACGCGTCCCATCCCCGGCCGGCCAGGGAGCTGCCCACAGGCGCAGCAGACCCCTCCTGTCTCCCGCTGCTCCCCGCGGCAGGGGTTTCGGTGGATCCGCCTGTTCCGCTCCCTGCTCTGTCTCTGGGGGTCCTCTCACCCCCACCTCTGGCCCGCGCCCCGGCTCTTGAAGAAACGTATCTCCCCGAGACCCACGAGCGGCCGCACTGTGTGGATGCGGCAGTGAAGGCCCAGGGTGTGGCTGGCCTTCCTCTTGGCCGGACGCCCCGCTGTGGCCACCTGGGCTGCCCCGGGAGCCCCCGTCCCTCCGCACCTCTGTCCTCCTCGCTCCGCCGCCGCCACCTGTTCTTTTGGGGCGAAGGGGAAGGAGGAGGCGGGAAAAGCTGCCGCCCGCCCCCGTCCAGACGTCCGCGGCAGCCCGGGCCGAGGAGGGAGGGGCGCTGGCGCGGCACCATCGGCCGCCGACTCGCGTGACGCCGACGGGCAGGGGCGCGCGCACAGCAGCACCTCCCGGCCGCCGCCGCGGAGGGCCCGGCCGCCCTCACCGTCCACCGAGGCGCGAGCTCCCCCGCGGGAGGCGGGCGCGGGCGGGGCATTACCTTCGAGAGCGTGGCCGCTGAGGTAGGCCACGTGACCCCTTCTCCCTGCGGCGAGCGCACGCACAGGACCCAGGTGAGGCGGCGTCCGCAGGACAGAGGCCAAGCAGAAGGAGCCGGAGAGACAGGAGAGGGAGAGCCGAGTGAGACAACGGTCAGGGGAGGAGAAGGGCGTCCAGCCAGCAGCTGTCGGGCTGCGAGGCCGTGCGCCGAGAGAGCAGCGGGCCGGCTGAGGAAACACCAAGACGGCAGGTGAGTCGCCGGAGGCAGCAGAGGACAGTCAGCGCCCCGCGACGGCCCCGCCCTCCTCCGACAGAGCAGGCTCCCCCCGGACAGCCACAGCCCCCAAGCGCCCCCGGACAGGCCCCGAGGGACAGGCTGGGGGCAGGACACAGAGCCCTGGCAAAAGGCAACGTTTGTACACCGCCAGCCAGCCCGAGCCCGCGGCCACCTGCGTGAAGACCTGGAGTGGCCCCGGGCCTTGCTGGTAGCCCCCAGGGAGGGGAAGCAGGTCCCGGGCGGGCGTGTGGGCCGCGAGCAGCTCTGGGCGAGCCCTGGGGCTCCCCTACTCACCGCCGCCCACAGGCTGAGCCCGGAGAGCTCGGGCAGGCCGGGGGAGGAAGCAGGACCCATGTCCCGTGCCGAAGCCCCGCGCCAGAGCGCTGCCCGCCTCACCCGGACACCCGGCGAAGGCAGCGGTCGAGCCGCAGTCCCCGGCCAGGGTGGAGCCTGTGGGGGCCCCCAGGCCAGCCAGGGGTCTGATTGCCAGAGTCCACGGTGAAGAGTCCGGGTCCTGTCGCGCTGAACCAGATGCCCAGCCCGGCCAGAGACCCGCCATGCCAGCTGCTACCAACAGCCAGTTCTCTCCAGGCTCACGTCCTCCATTCTTGAAAAGGGTGATGTGGGGAAACAATCGCTCACTCCCAGCACGTACACGCAGGCCCCACGTGCAAACACAATGCAGAGGCCGAGGCCCGACACAGACGGCCACCCCCACTTGCTCGGGGACGGCCCCGCACCCCGCCTGGGGCCCCGGCCGCAGGAGAACTGACCTCGCCAGCCACCCCAGCAGAGGCCCAGGCCATGCTGCGCCCCCCCAGGGGTGAGCCGGGCTTCCGACCCCGTGGCCAGTCAGACCGCCACCACTGCCAGGCTGCCTTCCTGCACTGGCCGGGCCGGCGGATGGGAGCCAGCCCCCCCGGGGTACCCATCTACAAAACTCAGTCCGAAACAGGAACACCTGAGAGTCCCGTGCACAGAAGCGCGAGGCTCTGTGGCCCGGCCAGCTCCCCCGCACCCGTGTCCTTCCCCGCCGAGCCCCGCTGGGAGCCGCCCGCTGGGGGAAGCAGCCCGGCTCCCCTGGCGTCCTAGCTCGGCCAACACCACTGCCTCTCACACACGCACACGTGGCGGGAGCCGGATGGAGGCACTCACACATGCCACGCCACGCCACGCCACGCCACAGGACGCGGAGCGCACGAGGCCGCCACGCCACGGCTGACTCCCGGCAGTCCAGGTTCACAGTCTGACAAGCAGAGCGTGCGGGGCTGGACGTCGAAGCAAGCGCAGCCTATTAGAGGGCTGACGCCAAGCGGCCCTTTCTCCACAGAGGGCGTGGGTGTGTGGACACGAGAGGCGCGCTGTCCAACCCTGGCACACCCTGGGCAGCAGCAGCACCATCAACCCTGGGACGCCACCCCAGACCCCGGCTCGGTCAGCCGCCCCCGCAAGGCAAGCGCTTCGCGAGGTGACTGCGAAGACCCGTGCGCGGAGCGTCCCGCAGTCTCCCGCAGCTCTGCTCGGGGCTCCTGCAGCTGGGCCTCCGACACCACTCCGGCCACGCGCACGGCTGCGCCCCCCAGGTCCTGGGTCCCGCTCGCGGAAGTCAGCTCGTTTCTTTTAAATAAAAGGCTGAAGAAATGCCGCCTGCCAGCAGCAAGGACCGGAGGGCCGCGGTGCCCCTGCTCACGCGCCCGGGCGCTCACCTGGGCTCAGCTCCACGAGGTAGGGCAGCTTCTCGGGCGGGAGCGTCACGCCGTAGCCGGCCCCCTCGCCGCGCTCCTTCCCCTTCGAAGCCCGCCCGTCGGGGTGTTTCTTGCCCTTCCTGGGGACGTAGTCCGGAGGCCGCCTCTTCAGCTGGAAGACCAAGACCCCTGGAACAGGAACAGCGCGCACGATCAGCAGCCGAGCCGCGCGGCCAGCCGCGGGAGAGCCAACGGGAGCTTCCATCCTTGACGCGCCGGCTTCCCCGGACTCCCGGTGTGGCCTGAGAACTCAGGCAGGCGACCTCCAAGGTCAGGTTACACGATCACCACCCAAGCACACGACGTGGGGAAAGACGCAGCAGCGGAGAGAGGGGGCGCGTGCACCGGTGCGACCCACGGGCGCGGCGACTCGCACAAGGCCGGCGCGCGGAGCGGGTGCGCACCAAGACTTAGTTTCTGCAGGATGCGCTCTGATGGCGTTCAACTGAGCTACTTAACAAGTCAGAGTGAGGGCCTCCCCGGGGGCGCAGCGGTTGAGCACCGCGCTGCGGAGCTGCCCGCAGCCTCTCCAGCGCCCGTTTGATCCCCGGCCACAGGGTGAGGGTCCCGCATGGCGCGCAGACCCCTCCTGCCGCCCGCTGCTCCCCTCAGCAGTGTCCTTCGGTCCTTCTGCCTGCTCTGCTCCCCGCTCTGGCTCTGGTGGATTCTCTCACCCTCCCGCGCTTCTGACTGTACCCAGTGCTTGTGTAAATAAATAAATAAATAAATCTTAAAAAAAAAAAAAAAAGAAGTCAGAACCAGAGCAGCGGGTTCACTTCAGCCTGACCAGGAGAAGCGCTCACAGGCGCCCGCCCCATGCCGTGCGGAGGGCGGGGCCTCTCCCGGCGCAGGCGGGTGAGCAGGAGAACCGGGAAACTGTAACGAGTGAAACTTGATTCAGGGCTAGCAAGCAGGGCGCCGCCCCACAGCCCTGGGGTCGGGGGGCGTCCACCCCTCGCTGAGGCCACGGCGCCGCCCTGCCCAAGAGCACCGTGGCTGCTGCGCGGGGAGGTGGGACCCCGCTGACGGCTTCAGGTGGACCCTCCTGGGAGCCCCCGGGCCCAGGGAGGACGCACACTGCTGCACGGCAGGGAGCACCCCAAACACCGCGGGACGCCCCGGCCCACGTGCTCTGGGAAGGGACGACACAGGGCGTCGGGCGACTCACCTCTGTCGCTCGGCCACTCCCGGAAGATCTGCAGGGGACACTCATCGTCGTCCAGGACCGTCTCCTTCGCGCCCTTCTCGTCGGAGTGCTGGGCCCCGGGAGGCAGCGTGACCTGAAGGACAGAGAGGCGGCAGCTAGCCCTCCGCGGGCGCGTGGGGCGATGACCGACTGGAGCGTGCGGAAGCCGCGGCAGCGTCAGGCCCTCACACGCGGGAGCGCCTCGCCCAGGCCGGCCGGGGAGCCAGGAAGAGCCCCCCGGGGAGACGCCGGGTCAGATGCTGGCCACCTTGATCCACCCGCCTCTCCGGCCCTGAAGAGAGCGAGTCTGAGTGCTGCCAGAAGCACTTGCTGGGAAGGACACCGCGCCGGGGCCCTGGGGAGGGCCGCTGACCCCCACAGCTGCGCCTGGCCCACCGTCTCTGGAACCGGCCAGTCCGGAGGCAGCGGCAGCCAAACGGCCCCGCGAGGTTTGCTGTGGGCAGCAGCAAGCAGCCGTCTTCCCGCTGCAGGGAACACGTTTTACGACTGGACTTTAATTGGGCGACTCAGAAATGCGACGGGCGAGTCAGTCAGTTGGGCTTTAAGCACCGTCCAGATGCTCTGAGGACCCCCAACGGCACCGGCTCTCATTCCGGACTGTCACGTGGCCACACCATCTTCTTAGTCGCCCAAAACAACCCCTACAGCAGGGGGCAGAGCCGGGAGAGGCCCGGTCCTGAGCACGGCCTCCCACCCGCCAGCGCCCCTCTAGGCCGAACGGCTGGTCCCCCCGGCTGCCAGTGGTCTGCAGCAGACACGTCACCGCCACGCGCTCCTGTGCCCAGGCCCCCGGCCCACAGGCAGCGGCTCCGGACACTCGGGGACCTGCCCCCCTCGTCACGCGCCAGCCCTGCCCTCCGCCACCCATCCCTCGAGGCGGCTCCCTGGCCTGGCCTGACCTGGACAGCCGGCCGGCCCTCGGGCTCGGGCACCCCCGCCGCCAGCTCCAGCCGGGCTCCCCAGGCGCCTGCCCCAGCTGCCCTCGGGCCCGTTCCCTCCCCGGTCTTGCCCCCGCCCTGCACTCCGCGCACGTGAGGGCAGCTCTTCCTTCTGCACCCGACAGGCAGGAGGAAGCGAGATACGTACTGAATGCTTAACCGAGTGATGAAACGGCAGACGAGGGAAGGAAGCGAAAGAGCTTCGTGTTACGTGGCTGAAGAGACCGAGCCCAGAAAAGCTTCTAATTCGAGGCAAAAGAGCAACGCTCCCCGCACCCCGCGACGCGCAAGAGGAAACGCGCAAGGACGTGACAAACAGGAAACCGAAGTGAGGAGACCCTCAAGAAAGCCAACAGTGACCGCAAAAGGGACAAAAGCCCGGAGGCGGCCACGGTCAAGCTCTGACCGAGACCCTGGTCAAGAAGTTTCTCCCGCTTCCTGGCTTTTACCAGTAAAAGTAAAAGAAGTCACGAAAGGAAAGAGTCGCCCAGTCGCCGTCACACAGCCATGCCACGCCACGCCCCGCTGTCCCTCACGCGCCAGCCTAGCGGTGGGGTGGCCCTGTCAGTGGCGCAGACGCATGTTCCCGCGTGCCAGGGAAGCCCACAGCAGTTACCCAGTGCCACCCACGGCCCCGGCGGCCCACGGCCCCGACCGCACTTCCCAAGCACTCGGTGAGGCTGGCCCGGGGGCTCCCGGACAGAGCAGCAGCGGCCCAGCGTCGCACGACAGCCGGGCCTCCTCTGCACACCCCGCCCGGAGCGGGGTGCGCTGGAATGTCCCGCCCCCCGGGCGTTTCTTCTGCAGAGAGAAGGGTGGCCACCCGCACCCCTGCAAGCTCAGCCCCCGCGCGGCTGCCGCCAGGACCTGCCCCCGGCGTGCAGAGCCCAAGAGAAGGTGTTCTCCGTTTCCCTTCAAGCTCACGACGGCCACTTCCCGGCCCCTGCTGGCCGGCCGAGGGCTGGCGGCGCAGGGGAGACGGCCGAGCGCAGGCGCGCGCCACGCATCCGCACGCGTCCCACCTGAGAGCCTGGCCTCACACGGCACCGGGGCGCCTGCCCGGCTGCACCGGCTGCCACCTGCCTCTCAGCGCAGGGACTCGGCAGGCTGCTGCGCGGCTGTTTCGTCGTGTGTTTTTCCAAAATCTGGACTTCTCGGTAGACGCGCGCATCGCCCGGAGGTGGCGGGGGAGCTCCCACGGCTTCCGGTGCCGAGGCAGCCGGGTGCAACCCCCGGGGAGGTGCCAGCGCACACCACTGCCCTCGCGCACGCACCGAGGACGCCCCCAAGAGACACTCAGGGTGGACTGGCCGTTCAGCTGTGGTAAGGACGTTCACCGCTGCCCTGAAGGAGCTCCCGCCGGACCCTTCCCTGGGTGGGGCTGCCCGGACGACCCAGGATGAGCCCCCAGGCTCCCCGTCCCACAGTCCTCTTCCCACCCGGGATGCCGCCCTGCCCTCCGCTGGCTGCCCTCCCTTTCTGAGAAGGCGGCCTGGTCGGGTTCCGCCCCACCCCAGCGCTGGGGCCAGCCCGCAGGGGCGCCCCACCTCTGCATCGGGCGCTCCAGCCCGCACCCAGGTCCCGGCGGCACTGTGCGGCTGCAGGGACCGACCCCGCCTCCGCTCTGGGGACTTGAATCCTGTCTTTCGCAGTCACCATCCTCTCTTTGCTGCAGTTTTCTGCAAACCCCACACAAGAGGCCTCGTCGTGGGTCTTTTTCAGCAACTGGACGTTCTCCGGTGGGTCTTCCGGCCGGCGCAGCTCCTTGGCACGGGGGTTCCGAGCGCTGTCTCCTCGCTGAAGGCCATCGCCACCTCCCGTCGCTTCTGCCCTCCTCCTCCACCGAGGGCCTGCTACTCCACACCACGGCAGCGTCCCGTCCTCCCTCGCGCCCGTGCCGCACCAGCAGGTCCCCGCACGGCCCCCACCCAACCCCTCGCTGGGCTTCTGGGCTGCTGCCGGCTCTGGCCCTGGGTCCTTCACAAGTCTCTGCAGGCCCGTCTCTCTCTGGCCGTGACTGCTGGCCCCGGCCTCCCTCCAGAGGGCCAGGAGGCCATCCACGTGGGTCAGGAGCACAGCGGGCTGGCCTCAGCAGCAGGCTCTTGGACCAGAGCTTGCAAAGGTCAGTTCACAGACCCTTCGTCCAGCCAGGAAGTGCTTTCTGGAGGACTCTGCGCCTCCAAGGCTGGTGCTCTGGGGTGCACCCGGCCAGGCCCCAGGACAGGGCACGGGCAGGGACAGGACACAGGCCTGCTGCCTCCCTACAGGAGTGCCGTGACCCAGGAGCCAGAGGGCCTCGCTCACCCTCAGGATCGCTGCTTCTGCCACCTCTCAGGACTGTTTTGTGCACCTGCAGGGGTTTTTAGTTCCCCTGCTGTCACTTTTATGGGAGAAAAACAGCTCTTTTCTCACCTACTTTCAACTGAAAATTGGGCCAGAGCCTGAACGGTACAGACCGACCAGACAGCTTCTGGGCGGGTGCAACTCAAGCTCCTCAGCAGACACAGGAGAGCCATAAAATCGAGGCAGCCTTGGACTGACCTGCATGTGGAGGAGCTCGATGCTCGCCGCCACGCCACGCCACCCAGGCCTCGGGCGCCAGCCAACAGGGGACGTGCATCGGCCCGCCAGCCCGGCGGGCGCTCGGAGGAGGGCACGCGCCGTCGCGCCGCAGCAGCTGTCATGAGACCCTGGCACGTACGGGACGTACTCGGAAATGTAAACCACCCAGAACAACCAAAACAACTTTTTAAAACAAAAACTGAAAGCAGGCCCACTGCACGTGCTGAGAACTGCCGCCCGCCTGGAGGCGACACCGCAGGTGCTGGCCCGAGGCGCGGGACCTGGGGGCGGGCGGCGTTTCCCGGAAAGGGCCGCGGCGCTGCAGCGCCATGGAGGGGACAAGGCACGGGGGTTGGTTTTGTGTCACACGAACGCTGCCCAGCCAGCGGGCACATGTGGGAAAATGAACAGGACCCTAATCTCATAGTGAGCCCAAAGAGGAGCTTCACACAGAGGGTGCAGGCCTAACTCTACATCCTGACACCGAATTTCTAGAAAAAGAAAAACATAGGAAGGCACTTGCCACCCTGGAGCGACAAACCCCCTCGCGGAGCACAGCAAGCACAGGCTGCTGAGACAAGCGGCGCGCAGGGGGCCACGTGGCTGCTCTGCAGGCCGGGCCGACTGCCACGCGCCTGCGCCCAGCCAGAGCCGCTGCCGAGCCAGTCAACGCCCCGGGGGCACGAGGCAGGCGCCCTGGAGCCCCCAAAGGCTGTGGTGGGCGTGAGGGCGGCACGTGGCCCCGGAACAGCCGTGCCGATGCGAGGCCCACCGTGCGCAGTGAGGCCGGCGCGCCCTGGGGCAGGCGGCACCGGAGGGAGGGGCTGCGCACACACCCACGCAGCCGTCCACCCGCAGGCCTGGCGCAGCCCAGACACAACCACCTCAGCCTGAGGGCCCGGAGCAGGACACCCGCGCAGCAGGCAGCCGGGAAGCAGCGCTCCTACGGGGAAGCTCCGGAAAAGGCAGCTGTGTCGAGAAGGCCGGGGCGCTCCGGGCGCGCGGGGCGGGTGGGCGAGGCTGGGGCAGGGGCAGGGGCTCCCGCCCGTTTCCCAGGTGCCCCGCGGCTCCAAGATGAGCCTTTGCCCCCGAGGGGCGACCGCCAGGCCCGGCCACAAGACGCCCTCTGGCCGCAAGCTGAGATGGCCCGAGTAGCTCCGTCTCTGTAACTCCGCGGGAGAGCAGTAAAGACGCAGATTCGACTCGCATCACCCCCGCACGAGGAGTCGGAGCGCGGTGACCCGCTCGCCATGACGCCCACGCGTGGCTGCCCGCCCGCCTCGCCTGCCTTCCCCGCCGCTCAGCTGGGCCCGGGCGCCGCGCTGCCAGCCCGCCCAGCCCCGCCGGGCGCCCCCACTCACCCGGGCGACGCAGTAGTCCCTGGGGTCCTCCCTCTCCAGCCCATACTTCTCCAGCGCCTCGGCCACGGCGAAGTCCGCGGTGTCTGTGGTCGACAGCAGGATCGTCTTGTAGGGAATGTTGGGCTTTAAACTGTCAGCGTAAATTCTCAACGTTCCTCCTGCAAGAACATTTGCATCCGCTGAGCCCAGGTCACGTCGCTGGGAGGGCGGCCGGGCCCCGGGGCGGGCAGCACAGTGGGATGCGGGTGGCGCCCCCGGGGCCACCTCCTGGGACGGGGCGCGCAGCAGCAGCCCTGCCGGCCGGCGACACCGTGCAGCCGTGGCCCGGGCGCCGGGGGACCCCTGCGATCCTCCAATCGTTGCCCGCTCCTCACAGCACTGACTCGCTGTCCCCCAATTTTCCCTCCCTGCTCCTTTTCCTTTCCCCTTTCCGGCATGCGTGGGAGGTCACTTAGGCCTCAGACGACGGGGTGTGGAGGGGCCGCCCACAGGCCCACCCCGCTGCCCCCTGCCTCCCTCCCGGCAGCCGCACCTGAGTCGGGCCGCCCGTCGGAGCTCCGGAACTCCTGCATCCGCTTCTCCAGCTTCTGCTGCCGCCGCCGCTTCATCACCACCTCAGGGTTGGAGATGGTCCGGGTGAAGCTGGTCTCGGGCATGTCCTTGTAGACCTCGGCAGCCAGGTGAGAGTTCTCGCTGCAAGGGGCGGGGCCAGAGAGACACTTACGTGTGGAGTTAGAGACAGCGGCCTCGGGCCGTGGGGAGCCAGGGGGAGGCGTGACGGCGGCCCCCGCCAGCAGGGTCGCCCGCCCCTCCTGTCCTGGCCGCGCGGCGAGGGAGGCCGCTCAGCGCTGCCACACGGCTGGCCTGGGGAGAAACCTGCTGTGACTCCGAGAGCGCCTGCGGCTTGGTTCGCCCGAGCGCTGGAAGGACAGCGCATAAACCATGTGTCGGTCACGCCCGCGTCAGGAGGCGACGCCCTGGCGTGAGGGAAGGAGCTGCACACGCTCAGGTGCAGCAGACCCGTCCCAGTCATCGGATCATGAAGCCACTCGGCCTCAGAAGTCAGTTGAAGGCGCTCGCCTTCCTTACGTGTTACCTGCCACCCCACAAAGCGACACCCCGTAAAGCAGCAGCCACCCACAGCCTGGGAAGAAGCCGTGCCGGCCGGGAGCAGCAGGACAGGTGCATCCTGCCCCCGCGGAGGCCGAGCCCACCCAGACCGCCTTCTCGTCCCCATGTGGTGGCAGCTTACCTACTGAGACCACGGCTGAGAGCCCAGAGAAGCAGGGACACCTGCAAGTGGGCCTACCTGTCGTCCCCGGGCCGAGGCCCCTCGTCCTTGCTGGGCACCTGCCTCAGTGCCTCCTTGTCTCTCTTCTTCTTGTCCTTCCTCTCCTTCTTGGAGAGCGTCCTCCGGAAGTTCTGGATGACGCCTTCTTTCTCCTGCTTGTCGGGCCCGTTACTCTGAGCCTTCTATGAGAATGATGCCATCAGCATGTTGGCCACCGCCCCGGACGCCCTCGCTGTGGCCAGACCAGCTGACCCATGGACGCTACAGCCGGACACAGGGGGCTGGACAGGGAGAGGCGGGGGGGCCTGACCGGGCTGGATGCGTGTTCTCATCCACACTCAAGGGATGCCACCACCCGGAGCCGTGCACTCCACGGGGGTGGAGTTCACCCCGACTCAAGTCCAACAAGCAGGAAAACAGAGAAATAGCCCGTGAGAAAGAAAAGGGGGGGTCGGGATCTGAACTGGCATAAGTGAAAACCCACAAGGTTTATGTCAAGTGACTCGAGTCAAAGGAACGTGTGCAGATGCGCCACGGCGCTCAGGCCACAGCGCTCAGGCCACGGCCCCATGACGCGCGTGTCCTTGATCTTCAGAAGATGCAGCCGGTGGCACAGCAGACACTCGACACCGAGCGACCAGCGTGTGCGCACAGACCACGGCTTCCTGGCCGTGTCTGCCTCCTCACCCGGGCCGCGCCCTGGCCTACTGGCAGTGACCCACGGAGCGCCACGTGCCCCTCCACAAGGGGCCAAGAGCCAACCCAACCGAAGGGCACCCCCTGGGATGCGCATGCGCTCCGTGGGCAGCACCCCCCCCCCCGGTCAGCGGCTTCTGGACTCCGCCTGAGCGCAGGGAGAGTGAGGAAGACGGCCCAGGGAGGCCACCCCCCCACTGTGGTGCGGAAATGGGGGCGTGACCGTGCAGAGCAGACGTGAGCGACCACTCTCTGCACGTGTGCCGGGCCACTGGGCCGGGCGGCAGACAAGGCGAGGATGCCCGAGCACGCGGCCCCAGGACACACGATGGCAAACACAAAGGTGAAGAGTGTCCTGAGGAAAACCTCGCCTGTGACGGTCTCCCTATGGGCAGCTGGGCTGTTCTGCTGCCCGCCCATGCCAGCGGCTGCCCCGGGGCCCCATCTGGTCCACAGGCCTGGAGGGGCAGCAGCCGGGCCACCCACCTTGGCAGGAAGGGCGTCATTCTCGTTCTTCAGAACGAATCTGCCCTCCCGGTCATCTTTATTCCAGTTCAGCTGCACCACTAAGGGCTTCTCATCTATCTCCAGTCTTCTTTCTTCTTCAAAACATGAAACGACAGAAGTTAAGTCTGATCATTTAACGCCGTCAGCGGACACACGCCACCCACGCTTCCCTCAGACGCGCGGGCCCCACCCACAGCACAGCTGGGCAGAAATGCAGCTGGACTCTAGAGAGGCCGTGCCCAGCCCCCCACAGTGCACAGCCACGGGGAACACGGGGTGGCCAGCCCGGGCGGCGGGGCCGAGGGACTGAGGCCACAAGCCCATGTCTGGACCCAGTGATCTCACGGGCCGCTGGCATGAGGGGGAGGCGTGAATATGACACGGGGTTTCCCAGGCGCCGAGACTCCTTCTCAGGGTAACGTGCCAGGGACAGCACCGGCAACAGCAGGGCCTTCGAGTGTCCTGGAAGTGGCCACTGCCCCCTGCCTGTCCCTGCCCTTCTGACCCAGCCTCCGAGGGCACCGTCCTCGGCCCGGGCTGCCCTTCCCCTTCCCTGCGCTTGGACAAAGGCTAAGTTTAGCGCACGACTTCCGTCTCAGCAGCGAGTCTCCAGAAGGTGGGCCACACGCCTGGCTGTGCCCGGAGGGGCGCCCACAGCCAGGAGGGCAGCAGGGGGAGCAACCTGGGGTGACTTGGCAAAGTGAGTGGTTGTTAAGGGTGAGTTCGAAAGCTGCGTGAGCGGCACCGTTAGCCATCGGAACACAGGAGCAGCCACCTCCCAGCTACCAACTGAACATCATCAACTGAACACACGAGAGATGAAAATCAAGAGGGAAAATTAGGGACTGGGCCAAGAAGTGTGGCATTCCCGCCACAAACCAAAACCACAAAGTCTCGGCCACGCGGAGCGCGTGGGGGTCAAGGCGCAGCGCATCCTGGGAGCCGCCAGAGCACAGTCAGCCCCGCCGCAAGCGGCACCGGGCCCGCTACGGAGGCGCTTGGGACACTGGCTCTGTGGGACTCTCATATCTGCAAAAAACGAGCCGGGTATTTTGCCTCTCCCCAGCGGACTGCACACTGGAAACGCTAAGCCGTGACGAGGCCGGCGCCGGTGGCCCCGAGTTGCTTTTTGTCGGGCATTTTTACAATTTCGCAGTCTCTGCCATGCCCCTGCGTGTCAGTATCCGCTCAGACGGCTAGACCCCGTCCTCAGGTTCGGTGCCAGTCCGGCAGGGGCAGCTGGCAACCCCTCGCTATTTCTTATCACCTCGCCCAGCCGCTGACCACTGGACCCGGGGCCAGCCAGTAACGAGGGTCGCGGGGCCTCTCGGCGCCGAGCGGCACTCACGCTCGACTCTAGGCTCGTCCCCAGGAGTCCTTTGACGTCGCGAGGGAACCAGCAGCACCGGCAGCCCCGCGCCCCTCGCACGGCGCAGCCAGATGGCCAGGGCCACGGAGGCAGCACAGCCCAGAGGCGGCGGGCGCAGGCCAGCAGGGAGGGCTGCGCCTGCAGGGGGCGGTGCAGACAGGCCCGGAGCAGCACCCGGGCCAGTGGCCAGGCCGGGACGGTCTCGGGGAAAGGGCTGGGGTTAGGAAAGAAAAGAGAAACCAGAGAATGGGGTGAAACTCCCGTTTTCCTCCCCGTATGGGGCTGTCTGCAGACGTGCCCTGGGAGCGCCGGCCCGCCCGAACCCGACTGCCCCGCGACATCCGCCTTTGGCACAGGGCGCCCTCAGAGATGCTTAACACGTAAGGGCCGTGTCCCAACAAGGATGCGGCCTGCGAACAGGAGGCCTCCCTGGGACCAGACGTGCGGGCAGGCGTGGGGCAGGGGCAGGCGTGGGGGCTGCAGGCGTGGGGCAGGGGCAGGTCCGCTGCCGGCTGATGGGGAGCCGCTTGCTCTGTCGTCAGAGCCATGATTATGTTCTCCCCTCACAAGTAATACTTTTTACTTAGAGACAAATCTAGTCAAAAATGTAAAGGTAAGGGCCTCCCTGGGGGTGCAAGGGAATGAGACGCAACCTATGAGGCTGTCCGCAGCCTCTGCAGCGCGAGCTCCATCCCCGGCCAGGGAGCTGCCCACAGGGCGCGGCAGACCCCGCCTGTCTCCCGCTGCTCCCCTCAGGTGTGTGTTTCAGTCAATCCACCTGTTCTGCTCCCCACTCTGTCTCTGGGGAGTCCTCTCACCCCCACACCTCTGGCCTGTACCCCAGCTCTTGTGTGCATAAATAAATAAATCTTTAAAAAAAAATTGTAAAGGCAAGAAGTTCTTCTCAACGCCAGCGGAGTGCCTTTCCAGATCCAGCCCGCCCTGAAACCCCACCACTCCAGAGCCTTCGCTTGGGAGTCACAGGAACAAGCGTGCGGACAGGACAGGGCTGGGGGCGTTTTCTTCCTCTATTCACAATGACTCTGAGGTGAAGGGAAGCTCAGCCTCAGAAAATACACCCAGCCTGAGCCGCCGCTACCGGCGCGTCCGCTGCTGCTGCTGCTGCTGCTGCGGGCGACGACCCTGCGGGCCCACAGCCTCGTGAGTCCCGCACGCGGAGAACCCGCAGGGGCACTCGCAGGCATCCACGCCGGCCTGCACGGGGCGACCCTCGCTCTGCTCGACGAACACAACTCTTTCCTGACAGGTGACTCATTTCCAAGCACTCGAAAAGTTTTATAAGTTTCTAACCGAGCCAACGTAAATTGCCGTTCGCTGTGGACGTGCGGCCTGCCCCCAGAGCATCACACGTGCGACGGGGAGGCCTAGCTGCCAGGAGCACGTCTGGAGATACCCGGCCGGTGACCGAGGACAGGCAGGATCACGTGGGCGCCGTCCAGCCACAGGCAGCCTGCGGGGGCGGCTGACCCCACGCCAGGCCTGCACATCTTGGGAGAAGCACTGGGGGGTCAGTACCTGGTCCCAGCGCCCCGCCCAGGGCCGCCAGGGCCGCCAGGGCCTCCCCACACCCACATGCCAGCCACGCCCGGGGAAGGCCCAGCGGGCAGCGCACTGACCTCCGCTGACGTGCACCTCGTAGAGGGAGTACTTGGGCGACGACAGCATCCGCATGTCCGGGCGGAACTTCTCCGCCAGCGTCTCGATCACATCCTGGGTGGTGGCGGTGCTGGAGACCCGGATGCACTTCGTCGCGAAGTTGCCGGCAGCTTTATCTTGGAAATAGAATCTCATCACCCCGTGGAACTCCAAATCCTGAAAGAACAAAACGATGCCTGTTTCCGAACACCCGCAGGCGGCAGCGTCCCAGCCGTCACGGCGGCAGACCAAAGGCCGCTCCGCCTTCTCGCCACCCTTCGTTGTCACCAACGCCTCAGTGCCAACAGGGCGGGCCCCGAACTGGACGGCATCGGGGGCGGTGACAGCGGCGCCTTTGGCAGACACAGGTCCCCCGCCCCACCCCACCACTGCCCTGGAACCTCCAGGCCCGCAAGCGCTGCCTCGAAGCCGCCTCCCAGACTAGGCCCTGCGAAGTGACCACACCACACTCCCTGCGGGAGCAGCTTCAGGCGGACCCAGAACTGGAGCCAGGTCTGAGGAGCCCCATGGCGCGCGTGCACAGAGTCTGGCCGCCCACAGGGCCACACACCGAGCCAGGGACGCCGCACAACGCCGGCCCAGCCCTGCCAGGGCGGGGGCCCAAGCCCACTGCCAAATCCTGACACGCTGAATTCCGCAGACAGAATCGATCCGAGCCCTCCCGCTGCGTCTATCACTCCCCCGTCGCTCCACCCCCCTTCAGCCTCTCCTGGGGCAGCACCCCTCCAGGGGCACCCCCGTGACAGTCTCCTGGCTTGAGCCACGGGTCACAAAAACACATGAAAAGCCCACACCACGCGCCACGGCGAAGCAGCTAAGGAAACGGCGGCACGTGTGACTCCGCAGAAACCCGCACGCACGCGGCTGGGGAACAAAGCACACGGGCGGCAGGGCCCAGACGCAGGGCCCGGGGAGACGCCGCCCCATCGGGGCCGCAGGTGAGAGAAAAGGATCGGGACCCGCTGTAAAGTGGCAGGAGGCCACCCCGACACAGCTCCCGGGGGCCGGCACCATCACAAAGCGCCTTCATGCAGTGACAGCGACGGCGGCGGACGCGTCTCCCGGGGCTCTCCAGGCGGAGCGGGCCACAGGGGAGCACGCCCTGGTGCCGTCACGGCCCCGACGGTTCACTGGACGAGGCAGAGGCTGGGCCACGCAGCCCAGGAGCCCTGGGAGGAGCCCGGCACGGCCCCTGGGCACCACCCGGACGCCGCGACAAGGCGCTCTCCTTTTAAGGGGAAGGTTTTTTAAACAAAGAAACTAATGTGCAAGACCAGCGCGGACCTGGGAACATGAGCAGAAGCCCCGGCCATCTCCCCACACAGAAAGAAGCGCCTCCTCGTCCTCCCGCAGGGCAGACGCGGGCGGGCCGGGGAGGGAGGGCGCGGGCCAGGCTCCCGGAGGGGCCGCTCAGGACGAGCGGCTGGGCCGGCTCCTGACGCCAGAACACACGGAGCTCCAAGCTGGCCCGCTCACCCGAGAGGCGCCCCGCAGCCAATCCGGGCACCGGCAGCTGGACCGAGGGCTGCCACTGGGGCAGGGGCGGAAGCTGGGGGACAGGCACCCGCCCCGCGCACAGGAGGGCACCCCCGGCCTCAGAGGTCAGCAGCTCCGGCAAAGGAATCCGCTGCCTCCGTCACCTCGAGGAGGAATACTCCTTCCCGCCAGGCCCAGAGTTCCAGTCTGCACACGGGAACAAAAGGACAGTCAGAAAATGGGGCGCCCGGTGACCTTGCAACCTGGGATTCGGGGGAAGCCTAGATGAACCCTCGGCTGAGAGGCTAGAAGGTTCCGGGAGGGTGTGGCCGTGCATGCCACCTGCTCTGCCCCAGCCGGCCCCACGGGGCGTCTCCTCCACCTGTCAGGCCAGGGCCCAACCCCCACTGGAAATGAACTCAAAGTCATCCCAGCCCAGATGCCCCGGAGGAGGCTCCAGACACGCGCCCTGCAGACACCACACCCCTGTGAGCCACTTCCCGGACACGGGGGAGGTTCCCAGCATTTCCCACGAGCTGAGTCGAACCAGCCCCTGCAAAGTTCGGCCGCGTCTCCCCGTGCCAAGGCCGTAACTCTCAGGCCGGCCTCCTGCAGCGGCCCCGGCGGAATGTGGGAGAGAGCAGGGCAGCCTCTGAGACGCGCACGACTCTCCCTCGGGGCGGGCGTGACAGGGGAGCCTCTGGGCACGACGACGCTGCCGCAGGGGCACACAGACCGCACACGCCGGGGACTGAGGCCGGCTGGTACTCCCGGGCATCCACACCCAAGAACGTGAACCCCGGCCGGACTCAAGTGCGCGTCCCGCAGTCAGGGCCCCCAGGGCAGGCCTCAGCCTCAGGGGGCGCGGCAAGGCCTGCCCTGCCCACCCCAGCCCCCAGCAGCGGCCCCGGCTGCCTGCGCCCTGCTCTAGCCCCGCTGCACCCCTGCGTCCCCAGCAGCCTCCTGATGTAGCCTTTCTGATGCGCCCCAGGAGATCAAGAGAGACTGGGACAAAGGAGGAAAGAACAAGTCAGAATAAAGTAACTCCGGGACAGACGGCAGAACAGGCCCTCCTCACGGCCTGCAGGGGGCCCGCGCCTGCCCTTCCCGGGGGGCCCAGCCACAGCCCTGCGCACGCGGGGCCAGCCAGGCCCTCGCTGCCCACTCACAGCAGGCCCCTGGAAAGGGCCGCACCAGTCAAGAGGGAGGGAAAGAGGGGGGCGGGAGCCCCTCGCCCCGGCGGGCCTGAATAGCACACTGGGGGCAGGCACGGCCACTCACACGCCACGGAAGCCACGCCCCGGGGCCCACTGCTCGCTGCGGGGCTCACCTGTGACTTCCAGGTGAGCGACGGGCCAAGTTAACACCTTCACACAGACCCCCAAAGGGATCCTGCGATCAGTTCTTTGGACAGTCAGTGGCGCCTGTCCCCGGCAGGGACTCAGACAGACGAAGGTGAACAAAGTGTTGGGGCTCGTCAAATGAAAACCTCAGTCTCTGATCCAGGCCTCACAGACGCAGTCACGCTGCCAGGGCAGCTCACTAAAGGACACTTCTGAAGATGTGATCACCCCGAAAGCAAACAGCCACCACCGGGAACATCTCCCGCACACACGGGCCCGCAGAGCCCGCCTCCACCGCCACCGGCAAGCGCCACGCGGGCCCGGAAAGCGCTCGGCCGGGTAGCGCCACCGGGTGGGGCTTCTGCCACAGTGCGCCGAGGGGGTGCACCGCGCAAGCAAAGGGCGGGAAACCCAGCCCGCGGGGGCAACGGTGACGCGGCACAAAGCTCGGCGGCCGCCCCGCAATGGCCTTGGCAGCAGGGAAGCAGCTACCTGGAGCCTGAGGCCATGCTCAGCGCCGGACGCAGCCTCTGCAGCTCCGGCAACACTGGGTGGACGGGCCAGGAGAGGCCACGCAACTGTACCAGATGCAACACGAAACAGGCTCTCGACACCGCCGAATCGTAAAAAGAAGCCATCCAGAGGGAAGGCCAAGCAACAGGTGCATGCGGGCCTCGGGCACCGGGTGGGCGGGCCTGGCCTGACGGGGCGGGCGCAGAGCCATCTGGACCAACGCCCACCTGTGTGAAAAGACCACGAAGCTCTGGGGTTACAGCAGGAAAAAGCCACCGAACCAGAAGCAAATGCACGGAGGGACAGGTGGAGGGCTGCATTCCGAAGGCTGGTGCGCTCTGTGCCGCAGGCGGCGCCCGGGGAAGCCACAGAGGAGCGGACTGCGAGCCTGCGGCACACGAGGGAAGGGGTGGCACCAGCAGGCAGGGCGCCCACGGCTGCGCTGGGAACCCCGCTGGCTCGGGGGGACAGTGCACACCAGGCAGGAGGGCGTGCCAGGTGCCAGGAGCTCCCGACCACCAAGGAGACCGCAGGTCAAAGCGCCCTGCGCCCAGGGCCCAGCGGACACACCCTTGGAGCAGACGCAGACCCGGACGTGGGGGTCCTGAATCCACGTGTGTCCAGCAGGCGAGTCCAAGCTGCCCGCCCGGGTCAGGACGCTGCGAGCCACGGCGACAGCCCGGGCCACGTCTGTGGCCGTGACCACAGTGAGCTTTCTGGGCCTCAGGCAGACGTGGCAAACAGGTAACGACGTGTCTTCATGCACTCGGCACTAAATGGTAGAAGAGACTGGACACAGCAGTCAACGGACCCAGGTAACCGTCCTCACGGTCCCATCACAGGCAGGCGCCCCCCCCCACGCCTATGCCCCCAGGGCCACCCCACCCTGGGCAGCAGGCCCACGCAGACGGAGCCGGGGCCAAGCCCTCTCAAGCACAGAGGCCGGCGACCAGCTCCGTGCAGATGCTGTTCACGTGGAATCCCGAGCTTCAGCGACAGAGAACAGCAACCTGGGATAACTGTTTTGCAAAGAAATAAAAACTAATTTAGCTGCCAAATTACTTCTAGCTAAGTCATCACCAGCTTCCCACTTCCCCCATTACATGGCAGGGGGAGGGGCACCCCAGAACCCCAAACCTGCTCACTCTAAATAGTTGTGCCGCCGGCCGCGCCAGTGCGGATCACACCCCAGCGCGTCAGCCCTTCGCGGGAAGGGGCGTCAGTGCAGCAGGCGCGCGGCAGAGGCGGGACAGCGTCAAGTTTCCAAATCAAACTCCCGGAGCCGCCCGTCCCCTCGCGGCCAGCGCCCGGACAGGCAGGGCTGCCCACGCAGGGCCTGAGGCCCGAGAGCTGCCCCCGTCTGAGGCCCCTCCTGGTGGGGACCCACAGGACGGGGTCAGCAACAGCCGGACAAGCCTGGGGGAGAAGAGCAAAGTCAGACTCAGGATCAAAGCTCCGCGTTCCCTCCCCCGGGGCTCCCCCGTCTGTCTGCTCCCACCCGCCAGCACCGGGGCGCCAGCGCAGCTTCTGCCCGAGTCTCTGCTCGGGTCCTCCCCGGCTCCTCCCGCCCCGTCCCGCCGCCGCCTCCCCGTCTCCAGCTTCTCTGGGGGGGGGTAGGGACCTGGTGCCCCCCCTCTGCCTTGAGACCACCCTGTTACACCCCTAACTCCAGGCTACAGGAAAAGAATGAAGAACTCCATAGTCTGTTCTCGAGGAACTCGTAACACAGCAGGAGACACTGGATGGTGACAGCGAGGGCCGGGGCGCCTGGACACAGCTGAACGGCGCCAGGACCCCCAGACGGGGCCAGCAGCCAAGAGGAGA